TAATATGAATTGAGGGGTTTTTGGGGATGCTGATTCTGAATCTGATGAAAACAAATATTTGAAATAAGCCCTAATATCCTTCTTCCGAATAATGGTATTTTTTGTACCCCTCAACATTGCACGGCAATGGTGAATTAAACTGTTCACTCTGCTAAATACTTCATTGTTCTAACAAACAATCACCACTGAAATAGAATATCATCATTAATGACTGAGATATCAGGGTGTATTCATTGAAAGCGAGACACACTGTATACATCATATCATTTATCCGATTTGAGAGATATAATATCAATTCTCAACTTCAGAGGATCTTTATTTTTCATGCTCTCCATTTGGATGTTCAACAGATATAATTCAATGTTCGACGTGGCAAATAGCCAGGAAAGTAGTTGTTTTCTGTTTGATATTCAGAATGATATTATTTGCATATACATATTTTTATCTGAAGGAGATTGTAAATTCCCAACTTCAGAAGATTTGGTTTTCAAATTCTTACCATGTGTTCAATAGATGTAATTCAATGTTCGTCGTGGTATATAGACAGGAAAGTAGTTGTTTTCTGTTGGATAAACCGAGAAAGAATTGATATTTTCATCACATATAGAGAATGCGAATTATTTCTTTTATTACATAGACTTCCAACTAGTTCTCAACACACTAAATGGACCACTCATAATTTGACTCTATTTCGAAGACCTGTATTTTTTGAAAAAATTTACCGAACTTCATGCGGTTTTCGATATTTGATGTGATATTTCATCGGCTTCAAAGAGAGCTAGAACACTCTGAAAAAGTCCGCAGAACAAAACCTACACAGGGTGTAAAGTGGAACCATTACACTATGGTCTACAGGTTTTCGAAATAGAGTCAAATTATGAGTGGTCCATTTAGTGTGTTGAGAACTGTATATCACTAAATTATGCCATTTTGTCAAGAAGTCAGCACATTTATAAACAGTAAACAGTTATTAATATAGGCAGAGCTAGGAAGTACAATATCAAAACAACATATTTTGGACGATCTATTTTTGCACCGGATTTATGATTAACGATATCTTTTGGGTACAGAGAGAAGGTCCACGCTATAAGTCTAATCCTTGGTGATTGGATACACAAACGATTTTGGCATGCGATTTTTCATCAGAGGGCTTTAATTTTAATCTACACATGTACATTTTAACAAACGGATATACAAGGTGACATTGAAATGAATACATATAACTCAAACACTATACAGGGTGTTTCAGAGTTGTGCTGACAATATCATCAATAAAAATATGTTCGTTGAACTCAAATTTGGAAAGAAATTAAAGTTATTCATGTTATATCTTTTGCATCATCAGAAACTGAAGAATGTTGAATTTAAACTAGGAAGTTAGTAAAAGTGACGCCACTTACTTGTAAGGTTGACAAGAAAATGATCCATAAAAATATCTTTGGTCCTTCTCATTGTTATAAATATGAAATGCATTGTTATAATTATAATATTTATAACAATGAGCAGGACCAAAGATATTTTTGTAGACTTCACGTGTGAAGAGGACCGTGATGTGGATATAAGTGTTTGAGGTCGAAGAAAAAATGTAATATGCACCTCGGTGAAAAACTATCTATTGTCTCGCCGGTCTCGGCTATCAATCTGCATATACAGGGTGATTCAAAAGTAAGCGGCATCCTTTCAGAGGCGTATTCCTTGCATGAAAATAAGGCAAAAAGTTCCTATTGATAAGGATCCGAAAATGCTTCCTAAGGGAGCTACGGCCCTTTGAATAGGACACCTCAAAGACGGTTTTTTCTCTATAACTTTAAAATCCTTCACAACAAATTTTTAAAAATTGGTGTACGGCATAAACATTCGATGGTAAATAGGACTCCGTATTCGAAATTTCAGAATTTCATTCAGGGGCGTCACATGCGGGAGAGGGTAAGTGTAAAAATATCCCTTCTTCTCCGGATATTCAGGTTACTGTGATTTCGTTTGGAAATTATTTCGAATACGGAGTCCTATTTACCATCGAATGTTTATGCCGTACACCAATTTTTAAAAATTTGTTGTGAAGGATTTTAAAGTTATAGAGAAAAAACCGTCTTTGAGGTGTCCTATTCAAAGGGCCGTAGCTCCCTTAGGAAGCATTTTCGGATCCTTATCAATAGGAACTTTTTGCCTTATTTTCATGCAAGGAATACGCCTCTGAAAGGATGCCGCTTACTTTTGAATCACCCTGTACATATAATATAATAGACAGTGGTTTCTATTGTGTTGGTACTTATTATCACCCTATATGTAATGTATTGGAATTATTATTATACATAATAGTCACATATCTAAAAGATGACATGTTTAGTTTTAGTCGGTCTTGTATTGTTTCACCGCTTAAGTTGGTTATTAAACATCTCTGAAGAACCTATGGGTTTAGTTATTACTCCAGCTACACCACTGTAGAGTTATACACAACAGTTTCATCCTTGGTTTATAAATAACTATTAAACGCAGTGACATTTTGGGACAAATCATCTGATATTGAAATAATACTCATATTTTTATTTTATAGAAACGAGGAGAGAAAATCCCAAATAATCAAGCAAAATGAATATAAAAAACTACTATGCTATGATAATGATAGAATACTCAGATTGTACTAAAATTGAGGAATGAAGATTTGAGGGATTAATGTTTCTTTTAATTGTACCATTTATTTATCATCTACTCACAACTCCACTGTTCAAACTGTTGCCATTACCATCTATCCGTATGATAACATTTATATAACCACCTATTAATTTAATTCATCGATAAACCCCGTGTTACATTCCAACATATGTTTTTGACATTCATCCCCTTTTGTTATCCCTTATTTACCTATTGAAAGAACTGTAGGTGAAGGGCTAATCAACATCACTTCCCGTCCGTACCAACTGCTCATTGCTTGAACATTTATGCAAATAGAATACGCACTCTATAGATGTATAAATGATAAACTGGATGAGACAATATTGAGATATATTTCATCAGTGAATGCTGAAAGAGGAGATTCATAACAATAATATACAGGGTGTTTCCTAAACATTGATACAAAAATTCCTGGAGTGATTTCTGAGGTATTTGTATAGAAAAAGTTCCTATAAATATTTGTTTTGTATCTCGTGGAGCGCACGAAAGGAAACCCCTATTATGCTTTTGGGTGTGGAAAGAAATTCTGTATGATGAATGTTAATTCATCATACACCCAAAAGCAAAAACGTCCAAATAACAGGAATAGAATGTCAACAAATTTTCTCAGATGTCATTTCGTGTTTTAGTTGTATTATAGAGAGATGAAAATTGTGTATATCATGAAGAATGGCTGTAAGAATGAATGGACATCATGGTTACTGATGAGGATTCAGAAATCCGAAATGGTTTCATTGCAATAAAGTCATATAACCTGTGTGTGAGAGATAATATTTCCTATATCACTGATATGAATGATTATTTTTGGAAGTTTTCAAGCTCATCAAGATCAGAGCTCATCCAGTATACTTCTCCTATACATTCCAATTTTCATTTCAATGGGGGCACCATAGGGCTAGACCAACCCCTTTACCCATTACTCGTATAGGAGAAGGAAAACTTTTGGCCTTATTCATGGACGAGTAGTCTAGGTACAATGGTACAATGGGCCAACAGGCCTGAATGTCATCGGAGATTTCGGTCAGACAAGCCTTGAAAGCACACTTTGACCAGCTCCAGAGAAAAAAGTGGTTATTTAATATACAATTGGTGAAAATCGCACCACTAACAGCTGAGATATAGAGGGGGGTCCGTTAAAAGTGAGACACGCTGTAGATGGACAAAACTGTTTCGAATTAGCAAATTTGGTGAATACGCCTGGTCCAAAATCGTGAGTTTGCACCTTCGCCAATTTCGAAAGTTTGATATGACAAGACCTTTGCAAAACCTACGAAGACCCAAGGTTTTTTCGACATACTTCCTGATGACGGAATTCAAATTCACCATGTAATTGAAAGGTGACAGTTGACAATGAAAAAATTAACACACAATTGAATGTTTTACTAGTTTTACAAGAAAAAAAACTCAAAATACAGGTCGATCATACTGAGTGATGAACAGTTTGAATACAGGGTATGCATACTTGGAATTCGATGAGGAATCCGAAAATAAAATCAAATATGGGTGCTTCCATCTGAAATTATTGATATTGTTCAACGAGCACAGAACGATTGTCATTTCCTACGAGAATGATGTTCGCAGCATAAGCCGTAGGTGAATGCTGCAAATTATACTAGTGGGAAATTAGCATTGCGTGCGAGTTAAACACTACACTTTTTCTACGGCTGTAACAGATAATATCGATATTTTTAATTTCTTCGGCTTCACTCTCAAGTACCTAATGCTCTATATTAGACAATATAGCTGTCATTGTTTGAAATTTGACATTTCAAGAGAGATGCAATTTTTTGTGAAATAATAACACAATGAAGTCATTGCGTTATCAGATAAGGGAATGAAATTGAAGACATACAATGTATACCTCATTAATTCATCCAAAACAGAAAAACAAGAGCAATTTTGTGTTGTAGCCGTAGAAAAATAGGAATTTGATGGTCGTTACTCATTTTTGGGTTATTCAATTCACCATCAGAGGAACTGGTATTAAAAATGTAATTCGCCCTATCCGAGCGTTTTACAAAACCAAACCCCAAAATTTCAAATAAATTTGTTCCAACCCACTCATCCTGCTCACTGTAGGTATATCGGAAGCCTTTCCCGAATCGACACAAGCAACATTTTTAGCCGAACCCCGCAGATCCAGCCCCAACCGCAAATCAGGACGAATGAAAAAAGCAATGTTAATTAACTATCAAGGGAGGATTAGCTGGAAAACTAACAGGTTGCCGCCACGACATGCGCATTACGCATTTTCCAAAAACGCGTTCCCGCTCAAAAGCGCCAATATAAACTGCCAAGAAAAGCATTTGAAACATTTGAATGTCGCCCGCCACCTAGATTAGATAGTTCGCTGCGAGATAAGCTGATTCTAACCTCGGCCGGTGATCCTGATCAATCTCAAAGACGCACATAGTATTGTAAATTGTATTGTAATCAACAAAGAAAAATCAAAAAATGGTGACACGGAGTTTTTCTTTGCAAGACGTGACTTCGTATTCGCGACTTTTGCATGTGCCTGAAGATGAGAGGGATTTTATCACCCTCGAGGAGTTGAAACCTGCTAACGTTCAGCAAAGTATGCAACACCAACAACACCATTATCAGCCCACTTATTACGAACTGACGAGCATTGGCGAGTAAGTGAGAAAATTTCAATTTCTGATGTATGATTAAAATTTACCTACTAGAGAACTGATATAGGGTGATTCAGGTTTTGAGGTACAAACTGAAATGGGTGATAGATCTCATCATTTCAACTGAAGTACAGGGGGTTGAAGTTATTATATTATATATATTATAATTCTTTCTTCCTATTAATTAAAATATCTCGCTCACTTTGGAAGATATCAATTTGAAATTTGGTGTGGTTAATAATTCCTAGAAATTTATCATTTTAGGTATTTTAGAGATTTTATAACTCCATAGAGTGATTTGGAGGTATAGGCCTCAGTCATTTTCCAATTACCATATACTGAGGATTGTTCAATTGAGAGTTTTTTTTTTTTTCAATTTTTCCCGAGAAACGAACCGTTTTCCAGATAAATAAGCATATGCGATCTAGAACATCAATTTAATCTACAGCGTGTCTCATTTCAAACGGCCCCCCCTCTACAGTGTCATTCATAAAGTCGGCATCATATGAGAAAAACTTTTATTAATGACTTATTTTGAAATTCGAGTTGGACGTTGAGTTTTGCTTCGAAGAAGATAAAAAATGGCCTACTCAATCGGGGTCACGTGAGTTTCGCCACATGTCAAAAGTGACATTTTTTCAAATTAATCGCTGAAAGTAGGCTTATTTGTTCGAATATCGAAAAAGTTCATTTGAAAAAGTTGTTTCTATTGAAATTTTAACATATGTGACTCGGATTTTATCTCTCATCTCTATATTACATTTTTTTAGATTAAAAATTTTCGAAATTTCTGTAATATTAAAAAAATTGTAAATTCGATAAAACTACTTCATACCAGTAGTTTCATCATGCTACTAACTTTCAATTACTAATTATCACTAATTATCGACAAAAATATGATTTTCTTCAGAAAATGATAATCTCCGCTTCAAAATTCTGTTATGTTTGATGCAAACATAACATCAAAACACTGTCATGTTTGAGTCAAGCATTTAGAAACGAAATTCATTCAAATTTATTTTTTCAGTACTGAAAAGATCAGTTTAAATGAATTTCGTTTCTAAATGCTTGACGATATAGCAACTTTGCATCAAACATGAATTTGTAAGCGGGTATTATCATTTTCTGAAGAAAATCATATTTCTGTCCATAATCAGTGATAATAAGTAATTGAAAGTAAGTAGCATGAAAAAGCTACTGGTATGAAGTTGTTTCGTGGAATTAACAATTCTTCAAATATAACAGAAATTTTGAAAAATTAAAAAAAAAATCAAAATCTAAAAGTTGCAATAAAAAGATCAAATTCGAGAAGCATGTGTAAAATTGGAATAGAAACAACTTATTGGAGTAAACTTTTTCGATATTCGAACAAATAAGCCTACTTTTAGCGATTAATTTGAAAAAATGTCACTTTTGACATGTAGCGAAACTCACGTGACCCCGATTGAGTAGGCCATTTTCCATCTTTCCAGCTATCAGTCGTGCGATCTCTACCAAATTCGTATCGGTATGAATAATCATCAATATAACCAGTTCTTCAAAGACAAACATCATTTTAGTGTGTAGTGCCGTACATTTTTATTGAAATGCATAGGGGTCAGTTTTTTATGAAATCCTATATTAGGCACTTTTTCACAGGAAAACTGACCTCATAATATTGTTCTTCATGGTTTCAAACCCACATATGTGGATTTTCATAAGGTGCCTATGAAGAGTTCCTGAAAAACAGGCACATCTAAACAGCATTTTTGCGAACGTATTGATTATTTACTCGGAAACGGTGTTTCAACATAAAAAAGTATAACTCGTTTTTCCTTCCAAATCATGATTTTTCACCCACCGGAGCCATTGAACGTTCCAAAATTCGTAGTTGATTTGAAGTCACTATTTATTCGAGAGTGAAAATGAACATAATGAAGCCAATCCTCTTAATTCCGAATTTGGTGATTTTTTGCATATGGAGGTTCGAAAGCATGAGGAACAATAATATGAGGTTAGATTTCATGTAAGAAAATGGCTAATATGATTTTATGGAAAATCGACCCATTTTTAGTTCAATAAAAACCCACGGCACTGATCATATTGATGGTTATTCATACCACACCAAATTTGGTTGGAATCGCATGACTAATAACTGAGATATAGAGGGGGGGCCGTCTAAAGTGAGACACGCTGTATATCTTTCTGGCTTAACCAGTAGCTTAACACGAATTTTCCGCGTTGTCGTTGGATGGAGGTGCAGATGAAGTCTTTAAATTAAACGATCCATCCTATTTGGTAACTGGAAGATGTCATAGGCGTACTGTGAAAAATTTTGGGGGAATACCCTCAAAACCGTATCACCCTGTTGATTTCACAAATCTTTGAGATGCTTCATATGATGATCTTCTAAAAAGTATTGACCACACCAAATTTCAAATTGATATCTTCAGAAGTGAGCGAGATATTTCAATTAATAGAAAAAATAATTGAACTTTGACCCCCTGTATCTACGCTACTAATCGAGATCGGACACATATTTATGCACACATTTTTGATCAAAATGGTGAGATCTATCACCCATTTCAGTTTATTCCTTGAAACCTGATTCACCCTGTATACATATATATTTACATATTTCCAGTAGGTACTTTGAAGTCACCTTGTTACTTCATCTCAATCATTCTGGAAAGTGACATGAGTGAAAGAAACCGATTTTTTTTTATTTTTATGATAGAATACATTTTTTTCTTCAGGGAGTGTTTTTCTTTTTCACAATAACCATAGACACAGTTTTTCTATTTATTCGGCCCTCTGAAAATCCATAGTATGTATAGAACAAAACATGATATAGAAATGTAAATACACAATTTCTTCTTTCTTTCCTTCTTCTTCTTTTTTCAATAACACGGTATTTTGTCAACTGATTTTCTTTCCATAGAAAAAAAAAACTGCTTTTTCTCATCACTTATTTTGAACCATGTTTTGTTCTGCTCATTTGGAATTTTCGTTGATAGATAGAACGCCCATTTTATAATTCTGCACTATAGTGCATTTTCGATTAAAAAAGTCTTGGTGATTCGAAATGAGAGAAAATAAACCGAAAGAAACAAAATCCTGTTCTACTTATGATACTCCAATTTTTCAAGCGTTCAGTACAATATTTAGAAGGACCATCAATGTGTGTTGCATTGTTTCGATCATTAGGAATGATATTCAGCGCTGGCATGAATATTATATCGTATATGTATAGGTACTATTCACTGATGGAACCGCTCCTATATGAACCATATATTTCTTTATCATACCAACACACCTACCTACAGAAATTCCGAAGAAATTGCCTCACTACAACGCATTTTTTTTCTTTCAGAGACCCCTGTCCTTCTAGTCTATCTTACCAAACGAATCAAAACTCGGGACCTGTAATGGAAATTCAACAAGTGGACAGTAGCTCACTCTGCTCATCTAACAGAAAAAGAAAAACCTATTTCAAGTGAGTAGGAGATATGATAATTTGCCTCATTTATTTGCTAATTCCCGAATCGTTACACAAATTGCGTTTCCTAATTCGTTACGTACAATATTTTTTCTAATTTTGATGGAAAATTTTGCTCAAACAGAAATAATGACCAGTTCTGCATGCATGAGTTCTACCGATTATGTACAAAATTTAGTAGGCAAGTTGACTTCGCCCGTCACTTTGAAGTATTTGTCAAAGAATGATATAGTCCCAATTGTCACAAATCAACGACGACATTCACGAAATAGTTTCGTTTGATATACGGGGTTTTTCACGATGAGCGTTAATTATAGACGTTTCTGGCAAACTAAGCTGCACACGTCAAAAATATTTCAAACGATGCGGCGTTGCCGCTCCTACAAGAAAGTAGCAGCATTTTTTTTAATGGAACACTGTATTTCATTGCATTTTTAGATTCTCCCTGTAGATCAGATTTCATCAATGTATCATACTTCACTACTTGGGGGAAATGATGATATAGGATGTTCAAAATCGAGAATTTTTCAGCTCAAGGATTTTTTGTGACGTAACTATTCATTATCGTTCAAATCGGCTTTCATGTCCCTATCGCCTCTCTTAACTTTCGATTAACTTTCTACATACATACAATTGGAACAAATACAGGGTTATTCCTGATCTATTCTATAGGATCTGCTTGGTTATATGGATGTGGCAATCTTGGTAATTCAGACCAGTACGTGAGCCTTTTTTCCACTAAACTTGAAAACATAATGTTCAGAGTCCATCCAAAATTTGAATCTGGGGGTTTTTGGGGTCGGGGGGCGGATCCAATATGGCGGACCACTTATTTTGTAATTATGATCCGATTCTATTCAAAATTGGTACCTGAGGGTTTTCGGGGTCGAATATTATAATTCTTTTGTAAAAATTTTGAAATTCAAGATGGCGGATCCAATATGGAGGACGACTTTTGTAATTATGGTCAGATTCTATCAAAATTGGTAACTGTAGGTTTTCGGAGTCGAAGATAATAATTCTTTTATCAAAGTTTGTAAATCCAAGAGGGAAGATCCAATATGGAGGACGAGATTTGTAACTATGATCCGATTCCATTCAGAATTTGTATCTGGGGGATTTTGAGGTCGGAGATTATGATTCTTCCATCAAAATTAGGATATTGAGGATGGAGGATTTAATATGGCAGACGACTTTTATTATGATCTGATTCTATTCAAAATTTGTATCTGGGAGTTTTCGAGGTCGGAGATTATGATTTTATTCTTTAAAATTGGGAAATTCAAGAAGGCGGATTCAATATGGCGGAAGAGCTTTGTAATAAATAGTAGTTTTTATGGGTAGCCAAACTCGAGGCCAAAGTGAATAGAAGTAGAAAACTGATAGTATAGTTTAAAAAACGAGATATAGATTGTCGAACTGAAATATCTAGAAAATAAGAATAGTAGTTTGAAATACTAATGAAACACGATTTTATGGATATCCAAACTGAAAAGAAGTAGAAAACAAAAAGTAATAAGAGTGTGTTGATGGATATTTAACTAGAAAAATATTTCCTAGAAATAATTGTATATATAGCAAAACAACTTTTGCCGAGTATCAGCTATTATAATAAATATTAGTTTGAAAAACTAATGGAACAAGTTTTTATAGATGGCCAAACTAAAAAGAAGTGAGTAGAAAATTAAGAGATATAGAGTGCCGAACTCAAAAATAAAAGTTTGTTGATAAATATTTATCTAAAAAAAATTTTGTATAGAAATAATGTTTATGACAAAACGTTTGCCGGGTCAGCTAGTTAATAACAATATATTGAAGATATTTGATGGGTATGTTCATCAGAAGCGGGACCCACTGTATAAAGTATATCGAAAAAAATAAAAGATATCAAATCATCACTCAGCTTCTCAGAAAAATCCACGGAAATTTATCCTGGGTTGCGCAATCATTCTCACTCATTAAACCTATTGAGGTTCCAAATTGTGGGAATCCCCACGAGTGCTTATGCCTACAAACTACTCGTATCAAATCATCTAATAGGCAATTACGTTATATATTGCATATATTCCCACACAAACATCTAAGATGTCTCCCGCTTTCCCCTCTATACAACCCTTAATAACCCATTCGATTAACAGGTTAATTAAGCGGCAAATTTGAGGGACACTTCTACGCATTCGAAAGTGTTATGCGACAAGAGTCACAAAGCTTTCAGCCATTTGACCGGTTTCACTTCGGTTTTCTCAAGAAAAGGTTTTGTTTCTTACGCAGCATTGAAGTTACTTACGCAAGGACTGGCGGTTTCATAGCGATATTGTTCACAACTTTCCGAATATTATAAAGGTATGATTGTTGGAACTCTCAAAAAGAATCAGGACAAGTCATAACAAGAAAGTTTTCTTTCTTACGTAAAAAGTAAGAAGTCTCTCAAATTTTTTCTGAACAACGACATGCAGAATACTTGGATATGAATATTGGCTCAGAAACCTCTGAAGTTCCATGAATGAAAAATCGGTCATCATTGAGGATCTCATAGTCCATTTTCTGAATTGAGGCCGGCGATATGTATCTGAAAAGCCCTGCAACTTTGAAATCTTATGTGCTGGTCAGAAACTGTATGGTACCGTTATCTAAGTATATATGAAACAAATTTTCAACATTTAACTGATTATTCCGGTTCAGAAAAATTGGAACGCATCAAAATATTCGTGGTTATTTAAAAGGATATTATGGAGGTATATTCTTCATGTATGTAGGTATTTCTGTTGTTGTTTGATACGCCCTTTTTTTGCGATTTATATAACCCTTGGGCACGGGTTATATGAAAAAATTATCATAATATTGCGATTTATATAACCCTTGGGGGCACGGGTTATATGAAAAAAATTATCATAATATTTACTATATACCTTCGTTAAAAACTGAAAATGTATTATATTAGGCTTTGTGATGGGTCATATGAAAAAAGTGGGATGTTTTTAATGATACTTAATAAAAAACAGCATTCAAGAAGCAGAAAGAGAAAATGAAATGAAGGGAATACAAAACAATCATATTATTGTTTCACATTTAAGTTCTGGGTAAAGAAAATTATGAATAATGATGATTATGTTTTCCCTCAATTCATTGAAACTAGTGTCTGTTTAAATATCTCAGATTTTTGTTTATTTTACAAATCTTTATCATGCTGTTTCCGGTTTATGGACATGTTTTCGTGGTATGTTGCATTTCATATAACCCTGCAAAAATCAGATTTTTTGTTTTATGATTTTTCCCGACAAGGTGTAATGATTGCAATCATGAAAACATTGACAATATGATTACTTTAGTTTATGCTCAAATATTCTCCTCATAAGAACTAAGTAGGTATGCAGGACGATGAGTTTTTGAGGAAGAGATGAGACTATTTGGGATTATTTATGTAAAGCTTAAAGTGCAATAAAGTTCAATATTAATTTTACTTTTAATATTTGCGACAAACAATACACCACATCGGTCTTTGGTTGATCTGATAAGACATTCGGAACGGTTAATCAATATTGTGGAATTGAAGTTACCTACCAGAGCGCCAACTTCCAAAAAAGTACAATGTTTCATATAACCCTTGCTGTTTAGGGTATATGTAAATTCGGTTCCAAGAATTATTAGACCAAAAATAAGTTGTAAATTCGGTCCCAAACTTTGTTTTACCTGATACTGCATAGGTAAATTCGGTCCCAGGTAAATTGTTTTGTGAGGAGCTCAGAGTAAATTATAACATAAGAAAGAAGACTACTTCTTCCAAACAATCTGACCTAACTCGGCCAAATATAGGATATAATATGAGGAAGGAAAATATTCTTTCTGGATAAGAAGGAGACTACTTTTTCAAAACAATCTGACCTAACTCGGCCTAATATATTATATAGGAATATAAGTAGGTTAGAATATGAGGAAGGAAAATATTCTTTCTGCATAAGAAGGAGACTACTTTTTTTAAACAATCTGACCTGAATCGATTATGCAGGCAAGTATTGTGAAACCCTTAGCAATTGACATGGTTGGGACCGAATTTACTCACCGATAAAAGGGTATAAAATTCGTAATTCAATCTGCTACCTGCTGGAACCGAATTTACCATCACCCGCTGTTTCATATTCATGGACGAGTCAGTCCATTTTCAATTTCTCGGAATAAAATTATCCGTAATACTGAAATTGGCTTGCTCTATATAGTCGTTTCAAATAAACCCTAGTAAAACAATTTTCAAGAAAAATCGACTTACCTAACTAAAAATTACGAAATAATACGTGCCTCCGCCAAAAATTATAATTAAGAACCTATATAATTGAATACTTTCTTTAGAGTCTAGATTCCAGAACATGTTTTTTTCTCAATGATTAAATGACATCGCTAGATGAAGTTGCACTTTCTCAATATTCATATACTATACCTTGTGAGTCAAAAATTTTGCACATTTGTTTCAGATAGAATTGTTAAGTGACTATGTATAAGGTCTATAATGGCAACCATACCAGTAGAAGGTACTGATATAATATATAGATGATCTGTAATTAGAACCCAAATCACCGCTGAGAAGCTCTAGACTAAAAACTCCCATTTTGATAATTATCTTTGATATCTTCAAAAAGAACAGAGCAATTTTATTCTCCCAATATATATATATAGGTATAAATATCATTTCCACACGTACCTTTACCTACTATAGTACTTTAACCCTGACTACCTTATTAAATTTGTTTAGGTATATCTAATGATTATTGTTAACATTATTGTTTTTTTCAGTGACGATGACACGAAAGATGATACAGGCGAAGATAACAAATCGGTGAAATCAAACGACGAAAATAAGAAGTAAGTAGGTATAAGTAGAAACTTTTAAAGTTTTCCTTCCAGATTATTATACACACCTGCCGTTAGAAATAAAATGAATATCAAGTCAATTCACAACTTCCAAAACCGATAATATTCGTAGGTGTAACTTCTTGGGAATCGAATATCATCCACATACCTATTTTCTATTGATCTTTCCATGTACAAGGTGATTCACGTATACGCCACACATTAGAAGTGTTCCAGCTGACTGTTCCACGAATTTGGTGCTCTAATTTTGGTTTACGAGATACACATGTTTTCGAAACCTATACTCTTATCTCGAAATCTGATGTGATAGAAAAGTTGACAGTGCAAACAGTGAAAAAAAAGTAGATTTCTATTTGGAATGAGAAAGTTGGTGCCGCTTCTAAGAACTAATTAGTAGATAGAGAATATATTTCTCTTGTTAGTTGTTCCTATTTGCATGAATAATTAATTGAACCAATCAATCAATTTCCTTCGCTTGTAGAAAAAATATTGTTCCTAACTCATGCGGAAAGTGTCTTTCCCGCACTCGACTGCTTGCCCGAACTCCGCTTCGCGTCGTTCGTGTCAACGACAGTCGCGTGCGGGAAAGAATCACTTTCCGCACTTGTTAGGAAAATTACTATTTTATGTGTCATACAGTGAAAAAGGTGTTGATTTTGCGCAGATTTGCAAACATTCTTGTAAAAATATAGGACTGGTTCTAAATATTTTGATATTATAAATATTTATAGTGTATGGCACATAGAAAATATTTTTGTTATCATTTTTGTTATCATATTTGTCATCAAATTTAACAGGTGTCATACAGCCTTAAGGGTTATGTTTTTTGAATTCCAACAAGTCGTTGTCGAGATATTCGAGTTCAAATTATGTCTTCTCTAATTGTGAGTAAATGAATGTATGGAATGAATTATTGAATGGTTATCCACAACAATTGTTCAAAATGACCTCCATTGACTCCCAGACAGTGGTAGAGTCTATTTACAAATTCCTCATCCACATTTGATCATATTCCTCTAGTTAATGATAATAATAATAATCGACTTTACTCACCAATATGAAAATAATACAGAATATAATACAATGGAATAGTTATTTATACATACCAAGTCGATCTTCTTCAAAAGTTGTATAAAGAGAAATTCCTGTATTTTGTGGGAAGCGAATTTTAGTGTCTGGATGCGTTGTAGGAAAAACTACGTGTAAATAATGCTGTGGAGTGTCTCGGAATAACTATAGTAAATGGTTTTTCCTGGTGTTCAGTTGATTTATATTCGAGAAAGAGTCTATCCTTTCACGCAAATACGGTGGTCCACCTTTCTGTAGGACCTTATGAGTAAGCCACCCAGATTCACTGAATTTAGATCTAATGGTGGTATTTCCGAACACCGTATAAGGGCATTCTGAAATTTTTGAGGTCGTAAAGCATCAGTCTGTAAGATTGCTGTTTTCATAGGTGGTCGGAGGAATAGTTATTTGTTTAACTAGGCAGCAAAGTAGTAGATTGACTGCCGAGGCTGAATTCATAGCCGAGCGTAGCGAGGCTAGGATTTCAGCTAAGGCAGTCAATCTACTTTGCTGCCGAGTTGAACATATAATTTTTTCTCCGATTGTACATAATGATGTAGGAGGATATTGTATTTGCAAATTATTACAATTCTCACAATCTCTTCATTTTTCCTGTAGTGTTCAATTAAAATAAAATTTGATAGAAATCGCAGTTGTTGGAATGGTTGGTTGCTATGGAAATGTCCATAATAATTATAGTTTGACAATTCATGAAATTTCTGACAGTTGCGCGAAAAAACATCGGTATATTTAAATTATTATATAATGGACAGTGATAGCAACCTGGAAGTACTTACTCCTCCAGAAATAAGGGAGGTGGCAAAAAATAAAGAGTTGAATTTGTTGCCGGAGAAGTCTCGGATGAAATATAAAGGAAATTATAAACTATTTATGGATTATTGATTTTGCTGACACATATCAATCAGCAAAGTAACCATTTTGCTGCCTAGGCAGGAAAAGTGATACTTTGCTGATTGATATGTGTCAGCAAAATTGATATTTGCTGCCCATCGGAGAAAAAATTACTATTTCGCGTCGAGGTGTTTGGTCATTTTTTGTAAAATTATCTTTCCGTGAGCTATCGGGGGTGGATTGTCTTGAATGGACCACCCGGTATATCTCCTATTTGCAAAATAGAAGTATTGTGGAGCACGCTTTGGGAATATTTCCTGAAAATATCCCAATTCTCTCTCTGAATAATATGGAACATCGAGAAAGAGATCTTCCTGAATTGATTCATGAATGCATAAAGCGCAGCTAATGATATTACGTGTATTTCAATAAGGATTACCGCATTTATTGAAGGTGACGTAAGGAAAGAAGCCTTAAACGATCAGGGGGAGTTCAAGGTGGCAGCCATTTATTTATCGCCGTAAAAGTTTCGGTTTCTAGGCCGTTATGAAAATGAAATGTCATGTCATGAATGCCTTTTTACCGTAGCACACCTACAAACTTGCCGTCGGCAGCAAATTATCGCTATTAAGTCGTTGTTTATGAAAATTTGCGGGTGCACCTCTATGCCGCAATGGCTGACTATAGTGGAGAAAGTATAACTGCATTTTTGCAGGAAGCTCCAGAGCAGAAAGTAAAAACGTGAAGTCACACACTCATCACTCTACAAGCTTACATGAAACTTCTAGCTATCCTTTAGGCAATAAAGTGTGGGACTTAGACAACTGGGAGACAAAGCCATTGTCAAAGTATAGATGTGGGCAACTGTTCACGAAAGAATCGAAGTTATCAACAAAAAGGAAGTGGATGACTTCGCAAAAAATATTTTCGTGTACAGGGTACATAATCTACAAAAACATTGAGGATCGGAGTTGTTTATAGTCATATGAACTTTCTTTTTTAGGCGATGTCTACTATACAGAATGATCCATATTCCTGTGACATACCAAACATACGTTTTTTCAAATGGAATACCCTAATTTCATTACATCCTTCGGTTGGGCTCAGAAAGACGAGTTCAATGATATTTGATAACATGGGCCTGAGATCACATACGTTTCGGACTCATCCACGACATTCTTCAATAAATAGCCAATATCAGAATCAAGTTTTCGATGCACAGTTCTCCTCATGATTTAACAAATTTTATATGTTATCCTGATATTTCGTCAATATTTAGAAATTTGACCCATCCTTTGATAGAGTTCAAAAAGACGAGTTCAATGATTTATGATAACATGAGTCTGCGAACACCCGTTTCGGAATTATCCATGATCTTCTTCAATAAGTAGTCAAATTTCAAAACCCTTTAAAAACGTTGTGGATTGAGTTCTCCACTCGCGTTTTCCGTTACAAATCAACAAATTTTGTATGTTCTCTTCATCGTAGATCAAAATTTAGATCTCTGGAATATGCCAAAAGTGTGCTGTATTTCGAAAACTGATCATTTTCTCGAAATTTCAGAAAGGAACACCCTCAATTTCATTATACTCTTCGAAAAATAGTCAAACTTCATAAGGCCTCTAACAACATTGTTAGTCAACTTTTCAGTGAATAGTTTTCATTTCAAAAATCCAAAATTACATTCATCACACTACACTTTTTTAACACTAAAGCTAAAGGCACCAACCGCGCAATCAATGTCTGTCAGTAAACTATACACAGGATTATATTTTTATACTATTTCTATTTTTAAATATATTTTTTTATTATTTTAGAATAGTAAAAGAGCATCATTAATAAGAATAATGGACCTATTCCATATATCCAAAAATAAAATAAAAACACCCTCAGTTCCTCTCTAAAATTTCGTGAAAATGATCAGTTTTGGAAATACATCATCACTTTTGTCAAATTCAAGACATCTGAATTTTGATCTACGATGAAGAGAACATAGAGAATTAATTGATTTATTACAAAAAAAGTGGTGCATGGAGAAATTTAATCCACAACGTTTTTAGAGGGTTTTGAAATTTGATTACTGATTGAAGAAGATCATGGATGAGTCCGAAACAAGTGTTCTCAGACCCATATGTTATCATTTATCATTGAACTCGTTTTTCTGAGCTCTATCCAAGGATGAGATGAAATACAGAGTGTTCCATTTGATAATACCGAAAAAATGATCGGTTTGCAAAATACGTCATCAATTTTGGAAATTCAGAAAAATTCTAAATATATACAAAATATCTGGATAACATATAGAATTTTCTCAATTTATGGGGAAAACTGCGCATCGAAAACTTGATTCTCAACGTTTCTATATGGTTTTGAAATTTGGCTATTAATTGAAGAAGATCGTGGATCCCATGTTATCATATATCATTGAACTCGTCTTTCTGAGCTCTATCCAAAGACGTAATGGAATTCAGGGTATGCCATTTGAAATAACGCATGTTTGGTATATCACAGCCATATGGATTATTCTGTATAGTTGACATTATCTAAAATAGGAAGTTCATATATGACTATAAACAACTTCGATTCTCATTTTTTTGTAGCTATTCTAGTTTACCAGATGAGGAGGTGGCCCATGTTATGTGGAATACCCTGTACATTGATGAAATAAACCTCCCCTGTATCATCTAAAGCTCTCATGAAATAATATAGTTCCAACGATGGGAAATTGATCAATTCAGATCTTTCTCGAATGAATGGATTGAAGTACCAGTGAGGACAATGATAATGGACTTATATCAAACAAAAAAATTATTTCATAGTTCGATAGAACTCACCCAAACTAGCTCACCACCGCAAACCGTTTCTTGCTGTGAGCTCCCTACATTTCATAAAAAATTATTGAAATCCCCGAAAACGAGGCGATGATGTGACGTCAAAACCCTAATACTGAAACAAGACTATTCCAGACAGAGGTGAATGATACATGATTTCTGACAGAGTGAATTAGCGCGAGATCACAGTTGAAAGAATTAATATATCAGTTGCCTCAGTCTCCGTCGGGCGTTTGGTATTTTCATTTAACTATGGCGAGATGAGGTTTCTACGTCATAAGAGGGTCCGTTTTCAGAAGGTACAGCGAGATGTTCGCCAAAACAATGTGAACAACTACTTGAATTAGGAAAATGCTCAATAACTAGGACTAGCAATATATTTGTATCCACCATGAGCTGTCCTCAAAAACATGATCATCCCACGTACCTAACCCAACGTAGCGCAGGTATTTTTAAGACGATAAAAGGAGAAATATAATATATGTTGATTCCATTCACAATTCCTCTATGAATACGCGTGAAATCGTACTGTATTTTGAATTTTATCATGTTACTTCTTCAAAAATCCTTGCATTAAGTATGTCGCGTTACTAGATCTATAAATCAGGGGTCAGATCTGACCCCATCAGGCAGCACAATGAATATTCTGACAACGTTTATCCTGGATCAAATATTCTATGAACATATTCCCTGAATATTATTTCTGAATATCATGAGAATATACAGAATCGTATCAAAATATGACATTGATGTTATTTTTGTATCAATTTTTATAATGATTCCCCTGACCTAACCTATTCTTGCTATTCATATTATTCGTCGATAAGGTTCGTAGCGCAGTGAAAAGGGAAGCAGGTTTGTCAAAATTCAATCACAAGAGAGGTTCGCATCTCCACCCGAGTAAGTTTTTTTTTTAAATATGTAAATCAATTCATTCCGAATTTTCATAGAACAAAGAACGTTCCTAGAATATTTATATAATATTGTGATAATATTCTGAGAATATTCAAATATTCTTGGAGAATATCCTACGAACGGTCTATGAATGACATTGTGCTATCTGGGACAGTAAGCTTGGATTCACTACGATGAAGCTAAACCTGCATATCACTTGATTCGGATCATTACGAATAAGACACTGATGAAGTTCGTCAGCAGTCTGCAAGGTCTTTACTGAGATCTATCTATAATCTATACGACAGAACTTATTCAATCAATGTCCAAAAAATCTATTGCGATTAACCTATCAGCAGGCTATACATGCCTCAAGTAGAATTTTTCATAAAAATCCGGAATTGTTAGCAAGGAAGGTTAAAGTCTTGTAGTATAAAGGAGAATTTGTTACCGTTATTATTCAATAACAATTATTATGAAATCAAAAGTATCTACTTGAGGTAATGCGATGTTGTTATTGTTCAATACTTGTAATCTTCAAGCTTAACAATGTCTTCACGAATTCAAACCTACGTACCTACCCAAATGAATTTAGACATCTGGACCATTGACCCATCATATAGAGGAATAAATTTTCAAATTTGATAATTTTTTAAAATTATTGCGTCATTGAAGTCAAATTGTTGGTTTTATTCCTATATATTGATAACCAAGGATGATTCCTACTTATCTTGGCCACAACATTACTGTCAGAAAGTAAAATGTAGATTGGAATGTTTAATATCATCTTTCACCTCAAAATAATCGTTTTCCATTCTAAGGCAAAACCACAGCGAAGTAGAAAAAAGAAGACGGGACAAAATGAACACCTACATAACAGAATTGTCCGCAATGGTACCTATGTGTCACGCGATGTCCAGGAAATTAGACAAATTGACTGTGCTGAGGATGGCTGTACAGCATTTGAAGTCAATAAGGGGGGCTGTACCTTCGTACACAGAAGGACATTACAAGCCAAGTTTTTTGTCTGATCAAGAACTGAAGCATCTGATTCTGCAGGTGATAAACACTTTTGTTAAAGTTGTGATTGAAATGTTCATTACTTATCAGTTTCATGTTGAAATTACTCACTACCCAATTTTTGTTAAAATTGTTCACCACCCAATTATTTTTCTAAAAATTTTTGATATTGATATTCGACGAGTGTATAATTATTTACATCAATATTTTCATATTTGTAAGGCTGCAGATGGATTTTTGTTCGTTGTGGGTTGCGATCGAGGAAGGATACTCTATGTTTCCGAGTCTGTATCGAAAGTTCTCAATTTCTCTCAGGTAGGTTCAGAAAATGCATCATATCGTAATGGTTGATTATTATTCAATTATTTTTAGGGCGATTTGTTAGGTCAGAGTTTATTTGACATATTACATCCCAAAGACGTAGCCAAAGTTAAGGAGCAGCTTTCCTCTTCAGATCTCAACCCCAGAGAAAGACTAATTGATGCCAAAAGTAAGGAAATATCTATGTGATTGAGGTCGGGTGATTTCGATGGCAATATTTTGAGCTTGTCAGGAGTAACCATACCTTTGAAGACATCCATTTCGATGCTTGGTATTACTATCAGCAATGACCTTTCTTGAGAAAATCACGTGAGATCAATTGCTAAAAGTGCATCCCAAAAACTTGGTTTTCTGTTTCGGGCCGGGAGCTATTTCACTTCCAGTCAGCTGCTTATGATCTATAAGGCACAGATCCGATCTGTCCTGGAATACTGTTCCCATATTTGGAGTGCAGCACCCAAACATGCCCTGAAACTGTTGGGTTATGTCCAAAAAAGGGGCAATTCGTCTCGTGGGTGATGCCTCGCTCACAAACTCACTCACCTCTCTGTAACACCGTAGAAAAGTTAGCGATCTGGCTTCCCCTTTCGTGGTCACTTTGGAGACCTGCAGAACATCTCTTTTCAAAGACTCGTTTATACAACGAACAGCGAGGCTCTGGAACACATTGCCAAGGGAGGTGTTCCCCGAGGCATATAACCTCCAGAAATTTAAGAAGAACACCAATTCCTACCTAATTTCCCTTGGTTCTCACGATGTTCTCTGAGCATTACATAATATCCACTTTCGTGGGAACCAGAACATGAAAAAAAAACTCATAGAGATGGACTGAAAAGTTTGGCGATAATCAAAATAACAATTACAAAGGCATATGCACACGCAGACGAGCAACATGATCCATCTTCCCAAACTTCATTCGAAATACAATTATGGCATTGAAATGCAGGTTGTATATGCTTTCGAATACGAAATGACGCATAATCCATAATAGACATTCTTATGAAAAAGTACCAGAACGACTATTTACAGTTATTATTGCGATGCAGTCGAGAACTAAATGAACTTTCACTTCGTTTATCCTTTTTTCTGTCATTACTATATTAAAGTCAAACGGAAGAATATTGATTTATTCAACCTTTTCGAATGAACAGTTATTCTAAAGTAACAATCAAATTATTACAACATATTATGCAGTTAGGTTGAATGGGTTGAAACAAATTCATTCGAAATTCAGGTTTGTTTTTCTATAATAAAATACACTCAGACATAACGATTCTTATTTGTGGCCCAGTACTGCAAACATCTATTTTTATTATAGATATAATTGTTATTTCATCCATATTGACATTATAAAATTATCAGAATCATCGATAATATAAACTGCTTAACACATGAAACGTAAAATCGCATTTTTTTTAATCAAATTTGAATCATCGTAACTTTCGATTTCCTCAACTGATTTTCAATTATTTTTCAGTTTCTGTAAGCTCGTTTCATTGACTATCAAACCTATGGATAATACTATTTCATCTCTTCCGGATCAGATTCTACAGGATGATAATCAAAGCTGTGCATTTTCACAAAAATTTCGAACGCCTTCCGTTTGAAAGAAAAATTTTTCAATTTTTTTTTTGGGTCAAAACCATATTGCTTCATACCTATGTTTTCTCAATACTGTAAAAAAAATTTTGGAATTGTCACACGCCTTACTGAAATATGAATGTTTCATTAAGATAATGCATACTTTAATGCTCTAATTTCTATTGGCTTTGTTTTTCTTGCTCGTCAAAACAAGATTTTTTCATTACTTGATGTCATAATTGTTGTTTGAGGACCACCCTGTATATAAGAATAGGTTGATCATGCATCATTTCAATATTTTTGACCACCGTTCGAACCAGATAGGCAGGAACACAGAGCCAATAGAAATTAGAGCGTCAAATTATGCATTATCTTAATAAAACATTCATATTTCAGTAACGCGTGTGACAATTCCCAAAATTTTTTTACAGTATCGAAAAAACATATAAAGCAATATGTTTTTGACCCAAAAAAAAATAGAAAAATTGTTCAATCAAACGGGAGGCGTTTGAAATTTTTTGAAAAATGCACAGCTTTGATTATGATCCTGTTGAATCTGATCCGGAAAAGATGGAATAGTCATATCCATAGGTTCGATAGTCAATGAAACGAGCTTTCAGAAACTGAAAAATAATGAAAATCGGTTGAGGAAATCGAAAGTCATGATGATTAAAATTGGATCGAAAAAATGCGATTTTACGTTCCATGTGTTGAGCAGTTTATATCGATAAATCGATAAACCGATAATAATGATCAGCAATAATCGATAGTTACTTATTTCAAAATAGTTATCGCCCACCCCAAGTCAACACAAGATCAACACTATGAACACTTTATTTGATGTTCAGTTTTGTTTCATGAACCCGCCTCAATTATTGATTATTTGTTCAGTCCTGAATTTCCTGATAACTGTTTGGGCATTGCAGAATTCAAAAATTGTATGAGAAATAGGTGTTTCCTTCCGAAGTCAAAAATAAAAATAGATTCATTCGAGCGTGTCAGAAACCACTTGACTGCAGATAAAAATCGTTTTAGTCGCTGTAACAAGCTATAAGGTATTATCTACTAACTCCACTATACATGTTTTTTTAGCAATGTTGCCAGTAAAAACCGATGTTCCTCAAGGTGCTTCACGACTATGCCCCGGTGCCAGAAGATCATTTTTCTGTAGAATGAAATGTAAAATTGCTTCTCAGGTCAAAGAAGAAGCCGATACCACTACTGGTTACCACAGAAGAAAAAAGCACAATTCTGGTGAGTCCCATGAATCAACAAACTCAGTGGTGCTGGGAGAATCAGGTGTGGGATTTTATCGAATCCCACTTCTGATCTTCTGAATTCTTCCAGATAAGAAATACAACGTCATACAATGTACGGGTTACCTGAAATCATGGGCTCCGGCCAAAATAGGACTGGAAGAACAGGAAGAAAGCGACGGAGAATCCTGCAATTTATCCTGCTTGGTTGCCATTGGGCGGGTCCTACCGCACATTTCCACTGTTGCCGCACACTACCAAGGCAGACCGAACGTCAAACCAATACAGTTTGTGTCGAGGCATGCCTTGGATGGGAAATTCCTGTTCATCGATCAAAGGTGGGAAGTAACAATGGAACAGGAAATAGAACAAAGCGGAACTCTTTTCCAGATCGACTCTAGTCTTGGGTTTCCTTCCACAAGAACTGCTAGGCACTAGTATGTACGAGTATTTTCACCACGATGATATCCAAACGATGGCCGACTGCCACAAGGTCACATTGCAAAGCACAGAACCAGTATCAACAGCCGTCTACAAGTTCCGAACCAAGAGTGGTAGTTTCGTAAGGCTGCAAAGCGAATGGAGGGCGTTCAAGAATCCATGGACCAAAGAAATCGAGAATCTGATATCAATGAATAATTTAATATTGTGAGTAAAGACAATGACTCGTCTGTGAATTCGATTACTCACCCTTCAATATTTTTTCAGAACTGATTTTGGAATTGTTGAAAGCAGCGCTGGCAGGCCAGAGGTTGCAGGAGAAAATCTGGATTTCTTCTCGAATTGTGAGCAAACATAGAAAAATTGAAGAAAATACATTGTCTTGAATATTATTTTTAGCAAATGGTAAGGATATGCAGATAATGATAAACGTAGAAGCTAGCAAAATAGGAAGACAGATTGCTGAACAGGTGATAGATTCCCAGCGGAGAGGCGGAGATTCATCTTCTGGAAGTAGTCCAGATCTAGACCAGGAGTCTTCACTCTCTTTACCTTTGGCAAGCGAAGAAGTGAGTTCTTCTACTTTATAATTTTACAATATCTCTTTACTCTTATTATTATATTTTCTGATACTCATGTTCGTTTATTGTATCAGTATTTCACCTGAAGAAGTTTCTGTGTTAGCAAAACATGTCGTGTCATTAAGAATCTTGTGGAAAACTTATCGTTTGTGAAATTTTTACATTTTCTATGGATTACCATCAAATAACGGCCGAGTCAATTAAAAAAACAGAAATAAGGTTGAGGTTTATATTACTCCTGCATTAGACACAGTGATGAGAAAAACTCCCAGTGTATATGATGGGTGGTAGCGGTAGCGTTCTTTTTCGAGCACTCAAAATTTCAGGCGAATTCAGCGTTCATTATAAAAAAGGGCACAATATAAGAGATTCAATTATTGGGAGGGGGGCGGAGCCTATGAAAATATGGCTTTTTCACGCTGGTATCAATGTCAATTGACAATTACGGTGTTATTTCGAGAAGGTACCTATTTAACTATACTCATCTTCTCTCCCTATCACCCTCAGGTAAGCAAAATGTTCCTCGAACATAATAGGGCTTCCCTTTCATGCGCTCCAAAAGATAAAAAACTGAGTATGATAAACTATATTTTTGTTTCAGTCACATATTTCGACCACTATTCCTTCAGGTGAGAGCAGTTCAGCACAAAACCAAATCATGGGGGATTATACCTCCCAGTCCAATTTCCGTGAGATAAGAAACAACTTATCGTTATCAAGTGTGGCCACTGATCCAGGTAAATACTGTGCACCCGATTTTTTATTGCCCTTATTACTGACATAATGACGTTGTTACCTCGAGTTTCATTTGACATCACAATATGAATCATAAAACGATCAGAAGAGTCTAGAATAGCAGTCATTGTGCTTTCAGTGGGATACATTCTATATAATATCTGTGGAATCCATCTATGTTAACATTGACTTAACATGACCATTCCCCCATTATAGTTCTAAATGAATAGCTATAGTTAGTAGGCGAGAAGTAAAAGTAATATTGTCTGTTCATTCACCCAAAATTTGTCTGCCTGTCAATGATGGAGCTGGTTCACTGAAAACATGGAACTTGTTTCAATATTTCAAATATTTGTCAAAATGGAAAATTTTAGGTGATTTTAGGTAGAAGTTGGTGCATATAAGCAGTTCCTACCTTTTTATTCTTAGCTTGCATGCCATTATCTCCAAAAAGTGCAAAAAAATGTTTCATCAGCTCACAGCAATAATGAGTTTTCAGTTCCTATTCAAATAGGCCTTTTCATTTAGATATATTTTTAAGACGCATGCGCTCGTTTTCAGATCCAAAAATGTATTGGATAACGCGAAGGTGAACTCTCTTTGGCCATAGTTCCAACACAAAATAATGATTGGCCATTTCGAATATAGTGGGTATTATTGACGTTCTGCCAAATGTCAACCATCATGGGCATTCATCATTGAGAAACAACAATAACAACATAGTATTTATGTTTCTATATTCCTGGTGTGTATTAATTGTATTATAATAGTTTGATTCCAAAAAACCTTACTCATTCGTTACTGAGGAGTGTAGTACTGTGGTGTAAGGGTTTCGGTGAAAATGGCCGCCACTGTCATTGGATGCGAGATGTAAACAGAGATAGTCATTTGTCATCTAAATGAAAAGGCCTATTGAAATAATCATAATGAATCGAGAATAGAATAGAATTTATTCATCACTGAAATGTTACATACACATACAGAATAATATATAAATGTAAAACTTATTGGACTATTCAAAAACAAAAACATTCAGAAGTATACAATTAAAAGTATAAAATACATATAATGGGAATCAAATACACTGGGGATCTGAAAACTCTTTTTTCATCATTGCATATATAACAGTCTTCTTTATACATCCTGCTTTCCCTATTCGTGTGAGTATAGGTACTTGAAATGTTTAGAAAACATAAGCAAGTCTATACGAATTATTCGTCTATACGAATTATTGCATGTTCTGCGTGGAATATAGCCAGGAAATTAGTTGTTTTTCTCTCAATATCCACCATCTTCCTTCATTTCATGAACTATTGTGGTAATGACTTCGAGTTTCTCTCTCATTTCAAGTATTTGGCTTTTTCCTAGTTGATAATCAGAAATCTCCGTCAAAATTTCGATATTTTCCACTGGCAATCACACCCACCTAGCAACCCTAATAACGTCGAAGTTTTAGGCGGCAACTCCGACGAGGGCATCATGGACCTGATGGAGGAGCCCCGCGAGCCGATGACAGAGCCTCAGACGGCCGCCGTGGATGGCAACGACGAGGCTGCGATGGCGGTGATCATGAGCCTGCTGGAGGCTGACGCGGGCCTGGGGGGCCCAGTGGACTTCTCGGGACTGCCGTGGCCACTGCCCTGACCGGACTGACAGGCTCCGGTCGAGAGGAAGCGGAAGAGTGTAATTGCGTCGGGATTTCGGTCGGTCGTCGTCGGTCGATGTCGGGCGATTCCTTTCAATGCATTCCAGATTAGAGTGACTTTAGAAATAGAGTGAAGACAATAGTGGTACACTTTTTGATTGGTCAGACCTATAATATGGAGGTGCATCCACCACGAGAGCCTAGAGCTTGGGAGATATTCCCAAACCTCATTGGTTATAATTGTAACCAATGAGGTTTGGGAATGTCTCGTAAGCTCTAGGCTCTCGTCATCCACCTGTCTTGTTTTCTCCATTCAGTTTCACGCATTCTATTTCACTTTGTCAATGCTTTGTCTCTTCAGACATGAAACTCTATACTTTAGTACCTTGGATATTACCTATCAGAATCCGTCTTTTGGAACTCGTTAGTCTCAGATTATTAGAAGATGCATATGGGCACTTCGAAGGCGCAAATTCATTACTGCATGGGAGATACCCTTCAAATTTCAGGTATTCAGTGACTTGTCCAGCCTTTTGGAGGTCTAATGTCGTCGTCACTCTATTTAATCTTATCACTCTTCTAGTCCAGATGTGTCGAGCGTTCTTTAATCGTCAGCTGACTGGATTTTTAATGATTTTGATGATCGGTGTCTTCTCTTTTCGTTTGTATTCACGCAGTTTTCGGGAAATACGAATTTGAGGATTGAAAAGTAGACCAAATAACAAACTACTGATGGGATATTAAATTGGAAAGATAAAATGTTCACTTTTTTCGGAAACTACCAAGTAAACAACCATGATTCACACCTCCTAGCTCTTGTTTGTCAATGTTAGATAGTTAGTACCTACAAGCCTCACTTATTTTTCTTATTGTTACTTGAATTTCCAAGTAGGTATATCATTTGTATTTCAATATTGTATCAATGTTATTTGGAGAGCATCATTGGTATAATTATACCGGTGGATGTTTTTATAATGTAGGTAGGTACTAGGTAGGTACCTGCAGTTATGTCTTCAGATACAAAATCCAAATATATTTCTTTACGGATTTCGCGTTCTTGAGAAGAACAAAGAATTTCATGAGTTCTCAAGAAGGAATAATTCGTTTCTTGACTTATCATTTCTCGCTTATTCTCTCTTCATCTACTATAGGTTCCACATGAACACCATTTTTTTATTCTTTGTCGAGCAAGAAAATAGGAACATCTTGATCATGAAAAACGAGGCAAAGTCATTTATATTATACAAATTATTGATTGATAGGTGGAAAGTCATATTGCCGATGTATCACATCAGTTGGCAGTTGTGGAACTATATATCATTATCCTAAACGTGATTTTGTACCCGATAAATAATGCTTATCTTGATGAGTATGGTATATATACCGATTGGCGATTCAATAAAGGCGATACGCCCTCTTGAGGATATTCAGGTAACTAATGGAAAGTACATTGAATGTTTGTTTACATATCGAAGGTTTTCATTCAAGTTTCCATGCATTTCATCGAAAGTTTAGTGGTCATTGTGATATTTTGGGAGCTTGAATTCTTCAGTAGAGTATTAAATCATTATTGCTGTATTTAACAGAAAATGATAATTTCAATCAGTGTATAATTATAAGATTTTCTCCTAACTTCGAGGTATTCAGTTGCGTTTTATTCCCAGAAGTGAAAAGTTGCAGTAGGAATTTAAAAAAAATGAAATACTTAGAAACAAAGTACATAATTATGTTCAATTTTTCCTACTAGGTAGATCAATTATTGGCAGATATACATCCATATATATATATATAATTTTACTACTCAATGGGCATGAAATGCAAAACTAACGTAACCTCAAATTGGGGCGAATCTCATTTATTTCAAGTAGTGAAACATACTTTATTGCACGAATATCTGCTGAAAAGCTCCCTCGAATCAGAAGAGGACACAAATAAACACTTTTTTTTGCTCAAATCACTATAAAAAATCGAAATAATACACACAAGCATATGAACCACAACCGGCCAATTTGGCGCTGCGATCTTAAATTCAGTCACCTATAGATATAGGCATTTACATTGAAATAAAATTCCAAAAATTCAAATATGACTCAAGACGAGGCGGCGATGCCGCTGCCATGACCGGACTGACAGGCTCCGGTAGAGGCTGCTAAGGGGAAGAGCGTTGGCGGGAATAAGAAGCGGATTTGGTCGTTTGTCGTCGGTCGTTCTCGAGCGATTCCGTTATTGGTTGTCGGAATGTGTCGAGCCGTCCATCGTCAGCTGACTGGATTTTTGATGATTTTGATCTCTGATGATCGATGTCTTTTCTTTTGTATTCACGCAGTTTTCAGGAAACAGGGAAACACAAATTTGATGATGGAAATTATAGACCAAATAACAAATACTGGTATATTCACTTTTTCAGCACCCTCCCAAGCAAAGTAAACAACCATTGGCCCTTTCTGCTTGTCAATGTCAGATAGTTCTAAATAGAATAGTAGATACAAGCCTCATTTGAATTTTCCAATTGTTACATATAATTGATGGAAATAAGTAGATGGTGTACTTACTGATGCGCTTTTGTTTCAGAAATTCTCACCTCTCGATAACAATGGTTTCGTCGATCTTTTAATAGATGGCGACATTGCACAATTATGACATCTGTCAATTCTGAAATTGTCGCAAGATTTTTCGAATTTCGAGTGAAATAAACCCACTCTTACTTAGGTTCCGCTCGCGAACCTGAAATGCAATTTGCCATTTTATTATCACTCGTCACAACAGCAATAGCAGCATCACCATCTAGCGGAATAACGTAGATTAACCGTCTCGCTCAATGTGACGTAGAGAAATCAAAGTAAGTGGTAGAGTGATTTTTTTTAAGTTTTCAATACGTAAAAATGGCCGAATACGCGCACTTATTTCCATCAATGTTACATAGGTACTTGAATTTCAAAGTAGGTATATCATTAGTGTTTCAGGAAGTACCACTATGGTACCAACTAGATTTCTCTAAAAATTTCGCGTTATTAAGAAGAAAAACAAATTTTATGAGATTTCAAAAATAGTTTGGGAAGAATTACCTAGAGGCTTGACTTATCATTTCTCTTATTCTCTAACTTCACTAGTTTCATCAGAAACAGCATTTATTTAATGACAAATAAATCATAAACTAATAGTGAAATTGCAAAGGCAATAGGTAGTATATTTTGTTGAATTCACTTTATACACTCACCGGCAAAAAAAACGGCCAGCAAAACATTTTGCCAAATTGATCACCCTGTAACATTTTCAATTCTTGCCCAATTCTGAGCAAATTTCGACCAAATCGTAGATTCATATTTCAGGAGTTAGCTTGAACTTTTATACTGGAAAAAAGCATAAGAAGTTGAATACAAGGAAACATCTATGAGGGTTTATACATTTACATCTGTCATTTGAATTAGGAATTACAAAGTTGACCGACTTTCAACTCGGAGATTTATTATCAATTTATCACAGTTGTGGGAAAATGATTATCTAAACTAATGCTCATTTCAATGAGTTCCTATACCTACCTACATAAGCATTTACATTGAAAATAAATTCACCTAAAGATCCCAGACCTATCTTAATGATTTCAATCCAATAAAGATGAAGGTGCAATACTCACCTCCAGAGTCACCTATTCCTATAGTGAACTTGGTCATCATTATTTTGGGAAGACAGTGTCTTGGTTGGGTAATAAGACTTTACTGGAAGCAAACTAAATTTCTAACTGAAAAATTATATCACAGTAATGTGAAATCTGAATGAAAGAATTTACTGGAACTGAGATAGTAATCCAATTTATTTGGATTACAATTCATTTAGGTTATATTTTATATTAGTAGGTATAAATTTTGAATAATTCTGTGATGTATAGATGAGATTATATTATATTTTTGATGTAATAAAACTCATATAATAAATATATAACTGTTATTATAATTTTTTCTTTACTCTGAAGAGTGCATATATTTCACATGAATTCCAAAATGATGAAACATTCTTAATTGAGGTACCTAATAATTAATGGAAGTGGAAAAGTAAGGTAAAATCAAAATCAAACAAATGAATTTCATAATCCATTGTTTCTTAGTAAAATTTATATTAGATATGAAAAAAAAAATCAAATTCAAATTTTGAAACATGTGAGCATGCCTAGAGATATGTTTCTAAAAAAGTCTACCTTTATTTACAGGATTCTTGAATTGATTTTGTATCTATAATCCTAATTCATTTTTTCAATTTTCTCCAGAGATGCTGATTGATCTTTTCCTATTTTGTTTCTTCATTTCCATTTCATGTTCATCATACAAAGTTTCAGATACACTGAGTGATCTTTTTCGTTTCTTTTTTCTGGTCTCTGATAATTCAGAATCTCCTGTTCTTGATAAACCTTCTTGATCTGCATCAATTTCAATTTTATATTCATCTTGTGATAATGTGTCACTACTCTTTCTTTTATGTTTTTTACTTTTTCTCTTAAGTATACTTTGGGAAGAATTCAGATTTTCACTGTTTATTTGATCAAGGGAAACCTCCAACTCCAATGACAGATCATCTTCTTCCATAGGTTTATGTTTTTCTTTCTTAGATTTCTTACTTTTAGGGAATTCTTCAACAATTTCATCTGAATCTTTGGAAAATGATAGTTTCATGTTAGCTTTTCTCTTATTCTTCTTAGACAACCCACTGTTATTTTCAGCAGTTATTGATCTGAAATAGATATTATATGGAATGCCCATACTTTGAAATGCCTACTGAAAGTGATATGAATTTGAGCAACAACGCCTGCTGAAGAAATATTGATGGCATGGTTAAACTTCCATGAAAAACTGCAGTCTATGCTCCCCAGAATGTAAATTGACTGATATACTAACTACTATGCCATTTTGATGTACCAATACCGACCAATACTGACCAATATTACTGATTACTGGACTAAATAATATGTGAATAAAGTGCCATGTCTTTATTGAACAAAATTAAACAGTGGTGAAAATACAACAAACAGAATATTTACTTACATTAATTGTCCTCTGATATAGGGCATAAATGATGTCATAGTGAAGAAAACTATCCTAAATGATACCTCATATCCAACTTGAACATCCAGTCCAATCCAATGGTCTTCCTCTTCATCTCCAGGGGGTATGGAAACATTAAAGGTATTATAAACAAGCACTCCAACATGATCTTTACTCTTTCTTGTAACAATCCCTTTCATTTCTTCACCTATTTTTGGTCTGAAGACAAAGAAATGTGCCTCTATGTCAATATGGATATAACAGGAATCAGTTTGTATAAAACCTCCATTGCTCAATAGTTTGATATCTTCATAGCCTAGCAGAATGCCATCCAAACTGAAAAGGACACAAAAGGTAGCCTATGATCCACTACATCTTATGAAGTTCAACTCACTCTTTACTATATCTTGCCACATCTTCATTCAGTAAATCTTTCACAGATTTGCCAAAGTCATTCAAATGGATCGGATGTAAAGCTAAATGTTGTTTTTTTCTTTCTGCCTCCACTCCCGAATTTGGTATGTCTTTCAATGCATTTAAAACTTTAGAATCGAACTTTATAACATTGAATTTTCCCATTTTATTACCTGTCTATCTCGTTAGGTGATAATTTCTGAATCCTCATTTCAGATATTCGAAGATTTTACAAAGTTACACCCATCGCTCATCAAAATTCAAAAATTCAAATATTATTTGTTTCAACTCCACTCCTCAGCTCCACTCCAACCTTTCATCTTGATAACCTCAGTAATTCTGCTTCTTATTTTCGTCCTGTCACCTGTCACATCCTTCTGTCAGGCTAGAGAAAAGAGGAAACGTGAGAGAGGAGTGCCTAAATCTCTCGAACCATTCCCATTACCTGACATGTTGAGATTTGAGATTCGTGTTTTTTATGCTTATTTTTCTCGATAAAAGTGTGGAGGCTGAGTATTCCGAGTTTTTTCATGCGCATGCGTTCATATTTTATCACGTGATATTCACAGTGACCATTTAGAAATGAGGTTTGGGAACGATTCGAAAACTTTAGGTTCTCGTAACGAGAGCACCACCCGACGACTCACGGCAGTATCGTGAAAATGGTTGCTGGCTGATTTCGACGTATTACTTCAAAATTTCTACAAAAATATCATTGTTTGTTGATGCCTGAATCTAAGATCAATATTAAATTTTTCGCAAAAAGAAGATGGAAAAAGCTGCAAAAAAAAAGTATTTTGTGCGAAATTCGGTTACGCGATCTCACATTGTCGGCTAAATGGGAGAAAGAATTAGATATTGAAAACTCATATTTTACAAATAAAAGTTAATATTTCTCTTTATTGATATACACAGCATTATAATGTATTATACATTATAAGTAGGTATTTATTGCACTTAACATTTATTTCTATTCTATGTAAATATCTTCAACGGGATAAGCAGTCTCGATAAACTTCTGGTAGAACCTTTGGAAGGCACGACTGAAAAAATTTTATGATATCAGATTGAGTCATGTTCACTTATTAGTTTTTCTGAACTTACCCTACTGCCTCTGCGACAGGTCTGGTAGAATCATCTCCTCGAAAGACGTGACAGGCGAACCTTTGTAACGTGGGGTGTTTGGTAATAAATCCTAAGTAGCGATGATCTCGGGGGTGGAAAGCACAGAACGATACATTCTTCAGGGAATAGAAGTAGTCGATACAGGGTTCATTTTGCTGAAACAAAAATAGTTATTTATTTCACAAGGGAAAGAAGTAGGTTTCAGATTTTTATATATCCATGATTGAATTTTTCAAAGAGTATGTATAGGATATAAAAAGCAGGTGTTACGGTGACTTTGACTTGATTCTGATCCTTAATTCTTATTAAATGTCTCAATCTAAACTGTCATCATAAAATTTTCTTGAAATAGTTATAATTATGGTTCTCACGTTTCTCTTTCTTCTGTCCACCATCCTTAAACCTTGATCCGATACTTCGAGGGTACAGGGTTGTAAGTCAGGTTCGTTGCCTGTACTTCCGATAACTCTCCTTACCGCCTGACATACAACTGATGTTCCCTTATGTGCCAAGGTTTCTACGGACCCTATATAACCTGAGGCAAACGGAAAATTTCTCAGAACTAAATCTCATTCAATATAAAGCGATAGTTCTTTTAAAATATCAAAGGTACATTATATATACCCCCGTGATTACGTACCTAAAATATAGCGTTCTCTTCGTCCATGTTCGCAAGACGAATCCCAGTCAGTATAATCACAGTCTACCGCATATGCCGATGGAAAAATGCCCATCCTTCCCGTTCTGAGGTTCACTCCTACATAACATAGAATAATATTTAAATTTATGGTACTTCTCTTCATCGAGTGCTATTCACCACCAACATTTCCATGTTTTAGAAATTAAGTTTTTCAGTATGATATTATACTTAAGTATGCGGGCATTTTGGACTAGGACATTGTCAAATATAAGGCAGACTTTGAATGACGTGAAGTGGCAGATTCTTTGAACTAAGACCTCGTTGGCACTTTCCTCTTTCTTAAATAATGTATCTTTTATCAGAAAAATTTTATAGGCCATTACTTGCCATTCCCAAGGTTCAATTACTGAATATCTTATGTTGTCGCTGGTGCTGCTGACTATAATCGCTGCATTATATTTTTTGATATGGAGCAAAATTCGAAAAATAAATTCAGAAGATGATAGACAGCGATAAAGATTTTCCCTTCTTTGCCGTGTGCATAGCAAAATCGAATATACGAAAGGAAAAAGTACCCTTCCTGCATAAGGAGACCTTATTTTGAACAATTTAACCTAACAGGCCAAAATGAACATAAATTTGAAAAATACTTGAGCGAGTCATACGCATTGTTTGTTCATGATCGGACGCTCAACTTGCTGTACCTTCTGAAATCTATTTAATATTTTTTCTGTGACGGGAAAAAACTGTTTTATGTATCCCTCCGCTACGCGTCGGGAGACAACACAACCTCGAGCTAAAATATAAAAATGCCTTCCCTTGTATAAAGAGAGGATCGCATCTCGCAGATACACGTGTTGTGTGTTACGACTACTGTTAAGTAAATATACTGTTGTTGCGTCATGTAAAAGCTTGTCGGCAGCGACAGCCATCAGCGCCAGCACCAGTCTGCTGCCGCAATATCCACTTGTTGCCGACTACATTATATAGCTTCTTCAACAGTAACTTTTGAGATTATGATGGCGAGTAGATTCTAACTACGGGCAGCGACAGCAATCAGCGACAGTTACAGTGTCAGCGCCAGCATCAGCTATCAGAGACAATCTACTACCACGATACACTTCTTCCGACCACCTTACTCTACAGCATTCAACACCATTCAACAGTAACTTTCGAAATTATGACGGTGAGTAGATTCGAAAACTTGGTTGAAATATAACCAAGACGTTTACGACTCTATAATACAATTCCCAGTCTTTACCTTCGCACCACAGATCGTCCGCCTCCTTTTGCACGTAGATCGGGTCACCGATCTCGACGTCGATCTCGTCGCGGTGCCGGGGCACGAACTTGTGTAGCCCACGGTGCGTCGCCTCGAGCGCACCGACGTCCTCGCAGACGGCGGACGGCGACGTCATGGCCACCGGCGACATTGACTTGGGCCCGTCCGTGCCGGTGGGCGAGTGCGCCGTGCTGTGGCCGCTGTCGGCGTCCGTCAGAAGTCTAGGAATGCGAAAAAATTGTTATTTTTGTATTGAGTGCTTGAAATGAGTATTTTCCACTGGCTGGGAACGAACATTTTCTCGAATGTGCCATGAAAACACGAATTTTATACACGAAATACAAACAACATTTTTTGTATAACTATGAATGTGGATTAACATTAATTGTCTGAAATATATTGCAAATGAATACTTTCAATACATCTTCACGTGTTTTTTGTATTGATGCTACCGCACAATTTCACAGCAATCAGCTAGCTGTACTGTTACCGTTACTACAGGATTGTTTTTTTGATTTTGACACGCCACGTATTTGACTGTGTTTGCTCGTAGTTGCTCCAATTTCAAGTTATTGTTCAAACGTATTTACTATTAGTTATTATTTCAATAATTATTGGGATTGTTTTATGATGAATAATAAATTAATAATTGGATCTGTTAAACATTCATAAAGTAATATTTCATGTTTATTTCCTAAATTATTTTGGCAGTGAAAAAAAGTTATCATTTACGCATCAATAGAGATGCAGGAATGTCAAGTTTTTTCGAGAATTGTACAAAAACTACTTTTTTTTAGGTGAAACGGATGAAACGATAATATTGGCTCATGGATGGGTAGAGCAAAAGATGTGAATCTGTTTTGAAGGGCAGAAAATGATGGCGCAACTTAGAGAAATCAGACTACACTGTTTTACCACTAAACAAACCGATTTATTGCATAACCTTGCAGACCCCAACGGCAAGAAACCAACGAACACACATAATAGAGGAGGAAGATCTACCCTACCTATAGAATCATCTCATATCCTGAAATCACTGAAGGATATAGGTCTAGAAAAATTGCTGTAGCTATGGAGAATAACTTCGTCGGGTATAACAAGAGAATGAAGCACAATAGATTTTTTAGGTCACAGTATATTCACCCTTGTCTAATTCTTACCTGTCTGACTCTGGGGAGTCGTCCCATAGATATCCGCATTTTAATACTAGAATTGAGCTCGGTCCACTGCTGGTACTACCCAGCTCGTCGGCCAGTGATATATCTCTGGAGAATTGATGTTGTGCATTGTACATTGTTACTACAGCCGCTAGAATAAAAAATATAAAAAATAAATCAAGATTATGTGGAAACGTCAAAAAAGACACATCGACTAAATTTCTCACTGGTCTCCTTAACTTCAGACCTTGACGCGCTTGTACGTTATAGTCGACATGAGAAAAATCCAGCAAAAATCACGACGAAATCTGCGAATTCGTTTGAATTCGATTACAAACATCGGTGCTGATGGATGTATCGCAGCTAATTATTGCATGGATGAATAAAACGTAAAGTATCTAATTGAAATTCAAACATTACTTGGAGTAGGTACAACATGCTATATGTAATTTGCATTTACCAACATTCTGATACTATTGAGTTGGGATGAAAGAATATGTTGCGAGATAGAAGAAAAAACGGCAACATCCTCTTCAGCTCATAAAAATACTAATTGTATATGTTCTCCAACAATTAGCATTCATTCCGAATTATACTCAATGAGAATAAATATAGCAATATTATAGTGTTCAGTGAGAAAAAAGAGATATATATATCGTCTATATACAGGGTGTCCCTAGACCAGTGGGACAGTTGAATATCTCCTGAACCAATAGAAATTTTCAAAATATTATGATTTCACATCATATCGCATTATGAGTGCTAACTTCAGGAATGACTATATTTTATACGAGGGGCGCAAGAAAGGCTCACAAAATTGAACATCAATTTTTTCAAATAAAACACCCTGTATTCCATTGCATTTTTATATTCTCCTTGATGAGCTGACTTCAACGACCTAGCACACTTGGGGTCTAGCGGGAATGATTTCCGAGATATAGGGTGTGGAAAATCGAGATTCTTCATTTCTGGGAATTTTTTGTGTCGAAACTATTCATTATTGGTCAACACGGAATACATTTCCAGATCTCAACTTTCGATTTACCATTCACTCGTATTTAATTGAAACAAATACAGGGTGGTGTAGAATTTTCAGTTTCAGTCAGAATTCTACACCACCCTGTATTTGTTTCAATTAAATACGAGTAAATAGTGAATCAAAAGTTAAGATTTGGAAATGTAATCCGTTCTGACCAATAATGAATAGTTTTGACACAAAAAATTCCCCAAAAATGAAAAATCTCGATTTTCCACACCCTATATCTCGGAAATCATTCCCGCTAGACGCCAAGTGTGCTAGGTCATTGAATTCAGCTCGTCAGGGAGAATATGAAAATGCAATGAAAAAATTGATGTTCGATTTTGTGAGCCTTTCTTGCGCCCCTCGTATAGAATATAGTCATTCCTGAAGTTAGCACTCATAATGCGATATGATGTGGAATCATAATATTTTGAAAATTCTTATTGGTTCAGGAGATATTCAACTGTCCCACTGGTCTAGGGACACACTGTATATAGGTATCTCCTGTAATGTGAGTTTCGCAAAGTAATGATTATTGATTGGAATTCATCTGCGTTTTCAAGAAGCACAAAAACAAAACTCAAACGAAGTTAATCCACCCACGATGAAAAACTATCTCATTTGTCTACGATCTTGACACCTCTACTTTCAAAACGATACTGTTCTATCCAGGTCATCTCCAGACACCCCCATTTTTCAGGTTCAATCTAAATCATCTCGCTTCAGGTAATTTAGCAGTCGATGAATATATAGCCATCAGGCAATCATCAGTAATGAGAAGGGGAAACAAATTCATGCAGCCAATAACAAGATTACGACATTTCTAGCCTAACCGAAAGTTGAAGCCTTCAAATCAAACGGTGTTAAAATCGCACATGATACTGATTGACAGAGATCGATCTACATTCTTTATTTCATCAAAACTCTTCTAAAAGTATAGGATCTTTTTTCTGATTGGAACATTTGGATATGGATAATAAATGCTTTTTTTCCAATTTACTCGACCGTTACTTGATGGAAATCCATGGCAAATGTAAAAACTTCACGTTAAGATATCCACAAAATGGGGAAGACCACTGAGCGAAGAAATCCGTGCAAACCTCTTTCAATCGACGAATCATGATTTACGTTTGATGTATAATCAATATTATGAGTTAAAGTTGAAGGGAATCGAATCTATATCGTTTTGAAATCAGCATATTTCATTCGATATTTCAAACAGCCAAATATGATGGTGGAGTCGTGACGTATTAGTCCCGAACTGTAGCTATCTCTCTCTCTCTGATACCTTGTCATTCTGCAGTGTTGCAGTGTGATTGGTCAGTTCAAGGACGATAGGCGTGTTGGGAATAAGACGTCGCACCAGTCACACCAATGAATTGACAAAATTTCAAATGGCGCAGGAATTATGTGTTTTGAAATGGACATATTCTAATTTATTATTTTCATCGTCTTAGCAAAAATCAGTGGTCTCCCCCATTCTCAAACACACGACACGACACAGTAGCTTCGTCAGGTGAAATATTGATACAATGAACTGAAAGCTAAGCTTGCTTGCTAACTTATATGTCCTACTTTCTCAACCTGAAGGATTAGTTACCTGTGGACAGGTTGGATAAACCTTCATTTTCGGAAATTAGGCACTAGCAAATACATTTGATTGCCTACTAAACAACCAAATTCAACAGTGGTGAACTATTGAGGTCTAATTGATCGTTAAGTAAAATGTCAGAATATTTAAGTTTGTTGATTTCTAATGATTCAAAAGTATTGCGTTTCATTCCTTTATTTCCTATGTGTAGAATTTCGAAACTATCATCAAAACTTCTAATATATGGTTGGCGTATGTTGGATTTGTTTCCTTTTTCAAAAAATTCATCTTATGTAATTGCAGCATATAATAGTATGACATACAGGCTAGTGAATGTCTCTCTTTCGGAAGTATATTTCAATAAAGACTTCAATATCATAAAACAGATTGCAGTCAACAACGGTTACAACGTTAATCGATAGACGGTATTCTTTCTGAAAAACTTCATAATAAAGCTATTCAAGAAGTCTATCCTATACTATCAAGAATAATAATCAAAATTATAGAACTTTAACCTATTTCGGATCATCAATTGAAAAATTAGCTTCATTTATACATAAACAGGACTTAGAAGTAGCATATAGAACAATCAACACGTTGGGAAGGTTTATCAAAAATAATAAAGACAACACTTCTCAATTCGAAAAATCAGGGGTATACAAACTCAACTGTGGATCTTATCCTAAAAGGTATATATCGGTCAGACAGGTCGTACTACGTTTAATCAGCGCATCTATGAACATAAGATTCATTTTTTTCAAAAGAAAACAAATTCAACATACCCCAACCATATATTAGAAGGAAACCATTGTTTTGATGATAATTTCGAAATTATACACGCAGAAAATAAAGGAATGAAACTCAATCATTTTGAATCATTAGAAATCAACAAATTCAAAAATTCTGACATTTTACTCAACGATCAATTAGACCTCAATAGTTCACCACTGTTGAATTTGTTGTCTTAGTAGGCTAATATATATTTGGTATCAACCTTTTCGAGGTTATCCGGTACACCGTATTTTAATGTAGATATTGTGCCTAATTTCCGAAAATGAAGGTTTATCGAACCTGTCCACAGGTAACTAATCCTTCAGGTTGGGAAAGGTGGATATACAAAAGTTAGACAAGCCAAGGTTAGTTTAGTTCATTTTACCAGAGTATATCACCTGACGAAGCTACTATGTGTTAGCGAAACATGTCGTGTGTTTGAGAATTTTGTAGAAATCTTATCTTTTGTGAAGTTTTTACATTTGAAATGTTAGTGTTTGAAAACGGGAACAACTGAAAAAATACTTTATAACATTATTTGGTCTATAACAGGGTGTCCGGTAAAGTAAGGATCATACTCAAGCTGGTGATAAACAACTTCATAATCGATCAGAAAACCATAACTCAGACCTCAATAAAAACCTGTTCACGGTTCTCGAGAGAAGTTTTATATAAAAAAAAGAATTCCTATTTTCTCATGTTCCAAGCAAATGAGGAGAGTTTCTTGTTTATTCTATTTTAACAATTGCGGAAGGCATAACTTCGATAGCATCAGCATTGGGGCATGGTACTAGGATAATATCAAGAGGAAAACTTATAGACCATTTATATTGAGGAAAACTATGGGAAAGATACTGATGAACCGGAAAAAGCAATCAAAATCTGGATAGCTGAACATGAACCTAACTTGTAAGGATTTTCGAGTGAAAGATTGGTTTATATACCAGTTATTAATTGTATTATTAAATTGGTATATTATTATTAAATTGGTATATAATTATAAGATTGGTATATTATTATTAAATTGGTATATAAAGATAGCATTGAAATTTGGCCAATGAATTTCGATATATACAGTGTCATTCATAGGGTGGGCATCATATGGAAAAAACTTTCAATGATAATTCATTTTGGAATTCGACTAAGGCGTCAAGTTTCGCTTCAAAAATGATGAAAAATTGCCTATATACTTGGTATGAGTCACGTGACTTTCGCTACATGTCAAAAGTTGATTTTTTTCAACTTAATCGCTGAAAATAGGCGTATTTCTTCGAATTTCAAAAAAGCTTTCTGAGAACAATTGTTTCTATTGCAATTATACACATATTCATCTCGGATTTGAACGTTCTATTGCAATGTTTAGTTCTTGATATTTTCTGTTTTTTTCTAATTGTAACTTCGACAAAACTGTCCTAAACTTTGGTTTGATATACGATTATACGAAAAGTAGTTTGATGATATTCGATAGATGACTTCGGCATCATTTAAGTACTGAAAAAATTAATTCAAATAAATTTCGCTCCTGAATCATAGACGATACATCAACTTTGCATCAAACATGACATAAAATTGAGGCGGGGACTATTATTTTCTGAAGAAAATCATATTTCTGTCGATGATTAGTGATTGAGAGTTAGTAGCATATTCAAGCTACTAGAATGAAATAGTTTTGTCGGTTATATTTTTTTTTATATCACAAACATTTCGTGGAAATTGAAAAAATATCAAAAACTTAAAGTCGTTGTAGAACGTTCAAATTCGACACACAATTGTAAAATTACAATAGAAACAACTTGTCTCCGTGAACTTTTTTGAAATTTGTACAAATAAGCCTATTTTCAGTGATTAATTTGGAGAAATGTGATTTTTTTTTTATTGAAAGTTTTTCCCATATGATGCCGACTTTATGAATGACACTATATCGCTCTGATGACCAGTGAACATTCGAAAAGCCCATAATCCGTGTATTTCACTTACATTTCTTATTTTTGGGTATTTCCGGTAGCCTTCTTCTTCTCCTTTCCCCCGTCCATTGCGTCGCGATAGTAAGAGACGGCGTTTCGGGTTTCGTACCACCCAACGAAGAGGGTCCGCTTTGATTTTCCGGACCGTCTTCATTGTTATCACAGTCGTTTTCTAAGTCGCTCTTGGAAGAAGTCGGAGAATCTTCGTCGACTTCGACATTGTGAACCAAACTGGAATGAAATAGACAAAATAGATATTTACATTACCAGTTAGGAAACACGCCATTTTTTATAACGATGGGACACAAAATGCGTTTCCAGAACCGTCTTTCACCTTTTCGAGGCCCTGGGCACATTGGAATAATGGGGCCCCTACGACCATAATAAAGTACTATCTTGGTAGAATAGACAAATAACGTGAAATGCAAAGTTTTAGCATTATTTTTATTACTTTACAGTTACATTAGATATGATGAATAGATTATATCATGTAATCCACACTAAGTAACCAGCATCCACGAATAGTCCTTATAATCCTTATATATATAAGTATCTATGCTAATTGAAGATGTACCCTTCTAGATTTTAGTTAAGCAAAATCGATAATAACATTTTCAAAATCTTTATTTTCGAGCATATCACATTCTATCGACATTAGCGACAAACTGTTCAATCTCTCTTGAAGCATTGTACTCGATTTTACTTCTTGCACTGCAGTTAGTTACCATCATGCTCTGAAAGATTCTCAGTGCGATTTATAGATTGGGAAAGGTGTCTTAAATTTTTGGTCTCTTTCAAAAGGTGATATATTTCCAGTATACTATCAGTTTTTCCATTTTTACTCTGATCAATTTTCAAGTATTCTGTTAAATCCAGACATTCCATTTCTAACTCTTTCTCGTTTACGTCTTCATAGTAGATTTCAGCAAATTCTTTGCAACTTTGTCTCCACTCTTCGGAATTCAGAGTTTTCAAGTGAAAAAATAAACCAAACTTCAATTTTCACTTATTTTCAAGTAAATTATTATTGCGAAAGGCAATTGAAATAAAAAATTATACTGAAATTTATTGAACATGCTGCATTCGGTAAGCCTGATGATTTTCAGGCGGGAGTATAGAGTAGCTATCGGGACTAGGGGGCCCCAATCCTCGCGGGGCCCTGGGCACGTGCCCAGTGTGCCCAGTGGGGAAGAGAGGCCTGTGCGTTTCCTGTAACTAGTTAGGTGCAACATTGCACGAGCAAGGAACTTTTTTTAATATTTCATTTACGAATTAAATATTGTGAAGTTTCGGAGAATCGGCTGGGGATAGTCCTGCACGATTCGCTGTTGCGTTCCAATTAACAGTGCTGCTCCTAAAGTAGCGCTTGGAGTTAGTAATAAAGCCTACACAGAACACGCCGAAAGAGATGATGATGTGGTTGTGAGCATCAGAAAAGAAGTAGGACGGTGTATGTAGGTGGGTGTGGAAAAACTACCAGCTGAGCGTGAGAGCGGGACAGCTGTATGCTTAGTGGACCTCGGTGTCTAACGGAGGTTAACGAGGATAGATAGCAGGCCTGCCACTGCAGCATATGGTAGTGAGTACATTACTAGCCTACAGAACACAGCCGAAAAACTCTGAAAGAGAGCTGATGGGAGGTGCCTGAAAAGGATGTTAGCCAGCTCTCTTAAGCGAACCACATCAGTCATTGAAAACACCTTGGGGCTTGCCAAAAGGTCCCATTAGGGACTATAGTTGCTGACGTGCAAACGTCCCCCACCAGGACCAGTACTAGTAGGTGCAACATTTTTTTCTATTCGAGGAAGCAACACAAAATGCACTATTCTCTGCGTCCATCCATATTTTTATTACGTAACTGATGTTGAAATGAACATTTCATCACCAGTTATGTAATATTTGACTTTTCTCAACTAGTTACGTAAAGTGAAACATTTCAAAACTTCCGTCAGTTTTGAAAAGTGCAAATTACATGTCAAAATTATAAAACGAATACCCGACTATTTCTGAAGGCAAGTACTTTTCGTCCGCCGACACTAAATTTTTCGTCCCCAAACAATTTTCGTCCGCTGCAGGGTTGCCAGTTTTAATGAATTTTCAGTAGATCTAATTTGCATTTAATAAATTATTGAGAAAAATTTCAACATTTATTATTATAATTACCCATATTATTATTAATCTCCAGTTAATCACATACACTTCTCATTGCATGATATTTCGGCACGCTCTGTTTAGATTAATTTCACAAAATAAGTAATAAATTTACATATAGGTACTGATGATGATATATATAAACCAAAAAAGGACAATACTTTGTCTGATTCAGATCAAATTCAATTTTTATATACCGCTCTCATGACAGTTTGTTTCTAACGTATAATTGTTTCATTTGTTTTGGTATTTTTGTTGTTCATTTTGTATATTTGTTCCTGTTTTTTATATACTAAAATATCATTGGTACCCACCTATGTAACATCTATATCGAATGTTTTGATATTCATTGTTATTGTTATGGTAGTAGTGGAAAAAACTATAGTTCAAAATATGCTGCGCCAAATTATTATAAATAATTCATCATAATACGCAGAAAAAACACTCAAAATACCAATAAATGCCTTGATAATGAATAATTTCAGTGTCAACCACTCTCAGGATGCAGAAAATTCGACAAAGTACGCTGGACTCAGGAACTGAAGACGAGTCGATAAACAAACATTTTCGTCTTCGTGCAACATTCACTCATTTTCGACAAGTAAAACACTAGACAAAATATCGGACGTTTCGTACTTACAAATGTGAAGGTGCAGTCGTTTTTTGTTTCAACATCAACAGCACGAGCCTGAAATATCTACACATACTCGTTCAACACCCCGTACATTATTGGAGACTGGAGAGTGGAGTAGCCTTTACACTTCATTAATATTGTTCTTATACCAGACTGAGTCCATATTTGGTACTTGAGGTGTCAAAATATAGGGGCTATCAAGAAAAAGTACGCATTTACATTTTTTGACAGCTCGAGCCTAGATTTTTCATTCGTATAAGATGTAAGCAAGTTTTGTTTTCGATATAATAGATTCAATTATATAGCGATATTCTGTTTAACTGGCTCATCTTTGATCATCATTTTTGAAACTCAAACATTTTCTACCCATTGTTATTGTTAGGGTAGTGGTGGAAAAAACTATAGTTTGAAATAATAAATAATTCCTCATAATACGTAGAACAAGCACTAAAAATACCAATGACTGCATTGATAGTGAATAATTTCAACCATTCTCAGGATGAAGTAAATTCGACAAAGTACGCAGGACTCAGGAACTGAAGACGAGTCGATAAACAAGCATTTTCATCTTGGTGCAACATTCACTCATTTTTGATAAGTAAAACACTAGACAAAATATCGGACGTTTCGTACTTACGAATAAAAAGGTGCAGTCGTTTTGGTGTGCGACGACAAAAACCCGAAACTATGCCTGAATTGCTCGAACTCCGAATCAGCCATGTTTGTTTTCGCCCCCGAACTATCGACTGTCTTGGCGGGCAGCGGGCGCCGATTCGGCGCGTCGCGACGGTAGATCCGACGCAGACACCAAATGCAACCCCATTCAAGGGTTACGATCGGCGAAGGGCTATTCGCACAAAAACGTTTTGATGGAATAAAGTTTATGGAGTACAGATTCCTTATCGTAAAAACTGGTTTTAGATTGATTGTTGTGTTATTGTTATATGCAATTAACGACGGAATTTATTATAGAGGTATTTTTATAGTGGCGAGGGTGATTTCTTATAATTTACTATGATGTGGAAGCACATGCACCAGACCTAATTGAAAATGAAGTTGCAACCGGCAAAAAACCAGCAAAAAGTTTTGCCAAATTGATCACCCTGTAACTTTTTTAATTCTTCGCGATAAAAAAAACCCTTTACCTGTGGCAATAGTGAGTGGTTGAAATTGGCTTCATTACACAGTAAAATAAATAGAGTGAAATTTAACACTATACCTGTTCCCAGGAGAACCACTGAGCTTTAGAGTATTAATGATTTACCTCTATAGTTTAGTATATTATAGTGTGATTTTTTCAATTCAATTAGTGTAAATTTTCAATGCAAGCTACGACGCGTCTGAACTGCCATCCTTGCAACTGTAAATTTGAGTCTCACAGTCTCAGTGCTCACAATTTCTCACCAGACTAACAGGCATAGGCAGCGCAGCTTTCATTCTTCGATAGCATGCGATGGCGATGCGCTTTTAGTAAAATTCTACTCATTTCTGACTGTTTGAGCTGCAATAAAGTGTTCTTGTTCTAAAAGTGCATCGCCATCGCGTGCTATCAAAGAATTAAAGCTGCGCTGCCTATGTCTGTTAGTCTGGTGAGAAATTGTGAGCACTGAGACTATGAGACTCTAATTTACAGTTGCAACTGTAAATTAGGAGATGTGTAGAAAAAAAAAGTTCTCTTGTTCTAATTTACAGTTGCAACTGTAAATTAGGCAGAAGAAACTTTTTTTTTCACGAATATTTGCCTAATTTACAGTTGCAACTGTAAATTAGCGCTAATTTACAGTTGCAACTGTAAATTAGGAGGTGTTTCGAAAAATAAGGTTTTCTCTATTTAGAAAAAAAAAGTTTCTTCTGCCTAATTTACAGTTGCAACTGTAAATTAGGCAAATATTCGTGAAAAATAAATTGTTTTTCCAGAATGGCAGTTCAGACGCGTCGTAGCAAGCACATTCAAACTTACTCTATTTATTTCTCTAAATATATTGAATAAACACAAAAATAGAGTTGAAGAAACAATTTCGAAAGTGAACATTCCACCCAAGACCCAAGCTAGTGTCAATGTCATCACTTTAGAGTGAAATTCATTAACCGAATATTAAATAGTCACGACATTTGTTAGTTGGAATAGATTTCACACTATTAACAGTGTCGGATTCACCGGAAACTTATTGAATTATTTACTCTACCTGGATGTCAAATTGCTGCTGCATTGTTCAAATTGACACTACTATGTGTTCAGGTGATAACACTAGTTGAATAAACTAGTCACTACTTACTGTTGAGATTTCAACGAAGCATAGATCAATGATCCAAGTTAAATTAATCATTCTTTCACTTCTCACAGTATTTATAGGCCTCTGGTAGATCATCAGCTGCGAAATTTCGGCAGTCTCGGCAGCGCCACCTCCATACAGCCGCGCGAATTGACGGATGAGAAGTAGTGTGACGTTATAATATTTTAATCGTTTGTTATTTGAAAAATGACTTGAGTCCCACTAAACTAATTAGTTAACCTATCTGTTTCATAAATCGTTCGAAATAATTCGAAATGTCAGAAACGGAAAATAACTGAGATACGTATACGGAAATACTTTTTTCTACAAGCGTGCGTGATTCACCCTATACCCACACGCAATTTAGTTTGGGAAGTGTAATTTTCCCGCAAAATTGCGGGAAATTTTTTCCCACACTAGTGCGGGAAATATAAGATGATAGGAGATGGAATATGAGAGTTTGAGTTTGTTTATTGCAGTATTAGGTATGTTTTTTCAGAATCATCCATCAAATTGTACTATTTATTGTGCGGGAAAGAATAACTCTCCGCACTTGTTAGGAAAATTACTATAATAACTCAATGTTGAAAATATCTCGCAATACGCGGGTATAATAGTAAAAAAGCTACTTGAAGTTGAAATCATGATGATTATTATCGACACTATAATTAGTATATTTCTTATTTCACTATCCTGTAGACTAAACGATCTGAAAGTGTATAGATTGATATTACATCGTATATAGATTGATATGAACAATGATAGAGTGTCAATTTAATCGACAAGAGTGGGACATTGAGTTATCTCAATTGTTATTTTATTGAAATTTCAGGAATATCGAGTTTATTCAACACGGGATTAGTTTCAAAAGAGATAATCTGCGAGAAGTGTAGTTATAGAGTTGATTGCAGTATCAGAGTGAGTATTTTTACTCTGAACACATACCCTGCGATTTTAACTAGAACCGATTTTTCACTGTGTATGTTTTGTAATAGAGTGTGATCCCTTCCTAATACAATGGTATTTTATACAAATTCCGATTACGAGAAGTAGGTAACAAGGGTATTAAGAAAGTATGGATTATAAAGTATAATTGTTTTTAAATTTTACTAGCGAAAATTAGGACCTAAAATGAGCATCTTTGGAATTAACTCCATGCTGAGGCGTATTCGTCTTGCCAGAGACCTTTCAGGAATCAAGACCTACAATTTGCCCTATTTGAGGCAATTCCTCAAGACTGCTGGACAAAAAGGAGGGCATACCTACACTTTATTGACTACAGGATTGCTTTCTGTTTGTTTGGTGGAATTCAGATTTTTTTTGTCGGTGAGTGCTATAAAACGGGGTCAGAATAAGCAATGATTATTGACCTCTTCAAGTTGTTAATCAGTAGGTTCATGTAGGTTTTGTATTATCTTTAATAAAAGTAGAAAAATTCCATATACTTTGTTTCTTCACTTAAAAAGAGGATATAGGCGTGAAACCGTTATTCAATCCAAAACATAACGAAGCTAAGTTGAAAAACTCACTTCTGCCACAGCTCGTTGAGAAGTGAAGGGTAGAAGAGTAGCCATACAAAGACGTTCAATTTCTTCTTGTGTAACCAGAAGGGCCCCTAAAACTCTTCTATTTCCAATGGCATCCTGTATATTTTTTTCAGGTTTTACACTCAAGATGACAGAGAAAATGCTACTTGAAATTTCAAATTGATAAACTTGTAGTAGGCTAAAAAAATTCATGATGATGACATATCACTTCGAAAATAGTTCAGTGGTAGTGGTACAGACTAGATGTCAAGATTGTCGACAAGACATCTGACCTCTCTATATTTCAATAAGGCTACTTTAGTAATTTGGTTGTACCGAAGGGAAAGATGGAAGAGGAAATAACTTTCCTCTCTCTCATTCACTAAAGTGAATAAGAAAGAGCTCAACGCTCAACTTTTCTCGAATCATCCTCTACAAGATATGCTGTGACTAATTGAGCGTTTCAAACGATTCATCTGAAAGTTTCCTGTCCTGAACAGAATCGAATTGGGTCAACTATCAAACTCAGTTTAGACGAGCAACAGTTCCCTTTGTATGCAAACAATAGGCCCAATTATAATACACTTCGAATGGCGGATAATCTGATAGGAAATCTTGTATAGTGTTCCCTCATTTGCACGGAAAATCTGCTCAGATTTTTCGCTCAAGTGAATTATGATAGCGGAGATGTCAAGACCGATGCTGAAGCTCGTTCTCATCAAGTTCATCCATTTTGACGAAGGTATATACGAACCAGTGTGGGCAATGGAGCATGCTAGAGGAATTTAGTCTTAGAATGGCAATGAATTTGTCTTACCGATTCATTAATTGCTATTTATATATCAAGGGAGGAAAGGTATACGTTTCCTCCCGCGTGTGAAGTTTGATGCACGACGTGTAGCGGAGGGCATTCCCAGCGAGCACAAACATCCCTGGGATGTTTTGGGATGTTTTGAAAATGTTGGCATGAAGATGTTATTTTGAGACGTAATATGCACTGACCAAAGAGGTCTTTGAAGGATATTGAAGTATTGTTTTTGTTCCTCCGTGGCATTTCTTTGTTTGCCTACTGAGAGGTATTTCTGGGATGTTTTGGGATGTTTTAGAAATGTAGGCATGAGGATGTTTTTCTGAGGCGTAATATGCACTTCCCAAAGAGGTCTCAGAAGGATATTGAAAGTATTGTTTTTGTTCCTTCGTGCCCTTTCTTTGTTTGCCCCACCACAACGTCTCATGCTTACGTCACAATACGATGAATTCTGATTGGTTTTCGATTTTGTTCTTCTTGTTCGCAATTGGCATTCGCGTTTGCAGCGTGTCACGCTTACATCACGCTGCTAACGAACAGAAAGGAATTTGGTGAAGTATATTGTGTTAGAAGACTTATTTAGTTTGTAATAATGACCATCAGATGCAAGATGTGTTGTTCGGTGCCTCAGTGTAATCAATATATAAAAGTACGAATTCATCAATACACAGCTTCTCCGCAGTTGCAAAATTATGTATTGTGGAGAACATTTCAAAAATTGGGAAACCTATTTCCAATTATATGTCTGTGTGTAGTAAGCCCTACTCAGAAACCGATTAAGAAGGTAATTTCATATCAAGAAAATATTTTTATGTTCAATCTATTTTTAATGCATTTTTTCATTCAAGGAAAATGGAATCCTAATGCAAAAGTTCATTTTGACAAAAGGCTTCAGAAAAGTACCTCGAAAATGGTTTTTTTACAGCGATTTAATGTGCGCAAGACGCGTTGAAAATGATCTGTTTTGTGTCCATGAAAAGGCTTTAAAAAGAACTAGGGAGAAGGTAGTTTTGTGACATATCAAGGACATCTCGATAATTGCCGCCTGCGGCGGACATTGGCTGTTCTATAATAGTTCTATTCATGTGTGAACAGAACATCGCAGTGGAGGTTCAATGTCTCGAAA